CTCCTTCCCCCGCCCCAACCTTTCACACCCTATCCCGTTTTACCGATTGCCTCTTCGCTGCCTGGCACAACTGCATCTCCGATTCGCATACCCTTTGGGCAGAACAGAGGTGAACTTATTGACCTTCCGGGTCTTGCACGCACAACTCCCGGGCTAGAGACATTTGTTCAGCCCTCCGCACATGACGACCTTGTAATGAAGAACCGCATCAACTCGGAACGCTACACCCTCAAACCCGGTCAATCTCTAATTCTCGGCGGAGGCTTGATACGAATCACTCCCGTTACCCAGGACCTAGTCTTCCTCGTATACCCCTTTGTACCTATCCACCCACACGTCACACGCACCGAAAAAGCAGAAGAATACCAGGCCCAAACCTCCGAACGCCAACTCCAAACCCCACCCATTCTCGCCCCAAATGTCGGCTCCAAAATCCACTCAGCAGGCAAATTCCAGCTCAAATGGGACGTAACCAAGAAAATCGCCGGCCCCGTAACTTCGCCCGTTGCCGGCAAAATGAAGCCTGAAAACCTCCCCTTCAGAATCTGGGGCACAGACATCCTCATCGAGGGCGTCGGCTGGGTCGAAGTCTCAGCGCAGATGCGCAGACCCCAGGGCTGGTCTCCCCCAGGTCTCGTCAAAAAAGATCCCAACCAAGCCCGACTCGACCGCCAAGCCAGGCTGCAAGCTGAAGCCGACCGCAAGCAGCGCAAATTCGATGCTCTTGCGCGTGCAGAGCGCGAGGGTAGGGATCCCGAGGAAGTTCTTGAAGAAGAATTCTACGAAGAAAACAAGAGGGCGCTGATGGAGCAGTGGGAGGAGGATTATCCTGAGATTGAGGTTTTCTCCCCGCTGGGCAAGTTTGTGGGACAACGACGGCCCATGTGTGCTAGTACTGTTAGTGGGCCGAAGCAGATTTCTAGTAGGGAGAGGAAGCAGCGGCCGAGACGGAGCATGGTTAGTGTTAAGCGGCAGAGGAAGCCAAAGGGCGCGGACTGAGTAGTCTTCACTCCATGTAACGATACATTTGTTTTCTCAGTAATCAATTTCAGGCTATGCAGACATTATGAGCAAATAAAGAGAAAAAAAGTAATAACTAAAAACGTATCGGATTGATAATCTCACGTCTTACTACCACACCGAGCACAAATCCATAGATTTCTAGCATTTAAAAAAAACTCCCATTACATGTGAATTCGAAAATCGGCAATTATATGGGTGTGTCCCCTCCTCCAACCCCCCGCGCCTTGCCACGGCAGGTTTGTATACCATGGCTCGCGATGCGATGTGATACCAACGCCCTGAACGCCAGTCTATCCCATCCTCCCTTACCCCCTAGCTCCGTCCCCATGGGTATTCACCATCCTCGCCTCTATCACAGTAGCGTCAAAGAGAGAGAAAATCCCCTGCCCGAGGACTTGTGTGTGTGTCTAGGTCGCGGCGTCCAGCTTAGTCCAGTAGGCCTGCTGCTCCACGGCACAGTCTCGACCGTTCTTGTCGCAGCCGGGGAAGACAGCAACGAGATCGCCTTCCTGGAAGCGGCCGTTGCGTTCGTTTGCGGGGCCGAGGGCGTAGGAATTGAGGAGGTTCTGAGGTACCATTGCGAGTTTGGCGAGGATCGTACCGTGCCATCTGTTTTGTGAGATTAGCTTACTGGGTCTAACGCTGGCGATTTCCAGTGGATACTTACTGCACGATATGCTCAAGCGCATGGTACTCGGCCTTTTGGAAGTTGTAACTTCGGTAGATAGGGTCAAACCAGGTGTCCAGGAAGAACTTTGCCCACTCTCCGTTTCGGACAATAAAACTGCTCGGCGCCAGGCCGTCCTTATCTTGGGTAATGACGAAATCTATTCGGTCGCCCTTTAGGTTGCTGAATGTCTTGATGACGCTTTCGGGGGGAACGACGGGAGCGTTGGTAATCATGTACGACTCGAGTTTGGCGGGTGTAAGGAGCGAAGTGTGGATGGGTGTGTCCATGTTCATGATCAGGGCGGTGTGGTCAAGATACCACATGAACATGGAGGTCGGATGAAGCGTCATGGCATGGCGGATTGCAGGCACGCGAGCCCAGGTGGACGGGGAGTTGCCGATAGGATATTTGTCGCTGGTTGGGAAGAAAGCAAGATAGCCTGATTGCACATTAATATCCATCCAGATTTTGCGGTAACCTATTGGCTATGGTGAGGCATACCATGTTTTTTGGCGTATTCCTCCCTATTCTTCTTGACCTTTGCTGTCCATGTAGGATCCATCTTGGGATCCACGACTGTGACTACGACTACGGGCGGGCCGCTCCCTATCTTAGGCTTGGGTATGTTTGCCGGACCCCAGCCTCCCACCTTGGTGCCTCTTTTGGTAGTGCCACTACTTCCACCTAGCATCCAGATGAGCACGAAAAAGCCCAATATACCACCAGCGATTAGCCGTCCTAGTTTGCTCCGGAGCAAATTTTTGAGAGCTGGTGGTATCGCAATTCCGCTCTGGTTTCTTGCAACATATGGCGGCGGTCGCGACGTCTTTCGTGGCGGCATGGCGAAATGCATCGTGTAGAGTCTCCGTGGGTAGAGGAGATGTTGCAGTTGGCGTGGGTGGAACAATACGAGCGATGTTGGGTGGCGGTTTGGAAGTCGTTAAGAGGCGCAATCGCTACAGGAACATTGCTGGAGTGTCTCGAAGTGAAAACTGGCCCCAATGCATGCAAGAGAGGTGCAGATTGAACGGGCGCTGCGAGAGACGGACTACCCAAAGTCCACGCGACGACATGGGCATGCGCTGCGATTGGCCTTGGCAGGAGGGACCTTGCCCTAGCGCTCGCAGATTGTCCCTGGTCATGTTCGAGATGGAGGCATAACGGGCCCTCACCTTTTTTCGTTGAGAACCGATATCTTTCGAGCTATGCGCATATATATACGACGTTGATGTTCGTATCTTTGCGCATCCTGCTGATTGACGCCACACTTGCACCATGTGCGACTTGTCTACCTTGTTCTTCATCTGCTTACTCTCTTTCACCACATCATGGGTACTTTTTGACCTACGGCAATAAAAGACATGGCCTTTCGCTATACGAGTAGTTCAAATGCAGCAAAATATGCCCATCCCCTGTCCAGCACCGGCGGTCGCTTGTAAAAGGAGTTGCCTGTACCCACCTGGCGCGCCATCCGAGTCATCACGAGATTTCGCCGAGTCGAGATCTCCGACCATGGGAATCTCACCAACGGATGGCAAAGTCCACAATTCAGACGGAAGTCTCGGTATTTTTGCCAAGCTATGTGACGATTGCTCGCTGATTACCACCTGCATCTTTGCAGCTACTTTGTGTTACCCGCTATGACGTCGAGTACCTGTCACAGTGAAGAAATAAAACCATTCGAAAAGAATGAAGGGACGTGGGCTTGTTCTCACCAATCTGATTTTTAATCTTTTGATTGTACCCTCTACCCTCTCTTTATTTACTCTAATCTGTTTCCATACATAGCTATGGTCGAAAAAGTGATCCAGTTGAGGTGCGACTGCAACCAGTACCCATGGGGAAAGCAAGGCTCCAAGTCGCTCGCCGCGACATTGTGCGCAAAGACACCAGGCACAAGCTTCAAGATTGATGAGAATATCAGCTACGCTGAAATGTAATTGTACAGACTGAGGTGTTCTCCAATGGTTTCTAACAACTGCAGGTGGATGGGCACATATCCCGAGTTACCCTCCTATGTTTTAGAGACTGGCGAGGACCTTCAGGACGTTATTGACAAGCACCCCGATGAGCTTATCGGAAAGGCTGTCGTTGACAAGTTCAATCATACCAAGCTGCCATACCTGCCAAAAGTCTTGTCAATAGCAAAAGCTCTACCCCTGCAGCTACACCCAGTGCGTACTTCCACAAGAAGGATTGTGCCCCTTCTCTAACAATATTCCAGAACAAAGAGCTGGCTTCAAAGCTACACGCAAAGAACCCAAGCCAGTTCACAGACCCAAATCACAAACCAGAGATTGCCCTGGCTCTTGGTGACTTTGAGGCTTTTTGTGGGTTCAAGCCTCTGGGAGAGCTTGCGCTTTTGATGAAACTCCCACCGCTCCAGGGCTTCATGCCTGAGGTCACAAAGCCGACATTTGACGACCAGCAGTTGAAGCATGTTGTCAAAGCAATGCTCACGGCTTCCGAGGATACTGTCCGCAAGACCAATGATGCCCTGATGAAGATACCTAAAGAGGAATTTGGCGTTTCCAGCTACATTCCCGAGATGATTCCTCGTCTGGCAGAACAGTACGATAAGTCTGACAACGGAACGCTCGTTGCTCTCGTCACTATGAACTACTTGAAGCTCAAGGCTGGTGAAAGTATTTATATTCCCGCCGACGGCATTCACGCCTACCTGTCTGGCGATATTATCGAGTGCATGGCTCGATCAAACAACGTACTCAACACTGGTTTCTGTCCCCGTGCTGATCGCGACAACGTCGACATGTTCTGCTCAGTTCTCACGTTCTCACCACACAACGCAAGGGAAGCCATCCTACCGCCACAAGCCTTCGACAGAAGCAAAAACGGCAAGACGCAGATGTATGCGCCTCCTCTTAGCGAGTTCAACATGTTGGCAACAACAATGAGTGCCGGCGATTCCGAGACGATTGGGTCACTCGGTGGACCCAGCGTCATGATCGTAACCGAGGGCGAAGGTACTATGAAGGGCAACGGCAAGGAGTATAAGCTGAGCGATGGCTATATTTTCTTTATCGGCCCCGGCGTGGACCTGGAGTTTAGCGCCACCAAGGAGCTGAAGGCATTTACAGCCTTTGCTGAGTAAATCATTGTAATAATAAGATAGGAATAACAAAATGCGGATGACAATGATTGAGGCTCTCAGGCCGCCACGGAGGTGACGTGAACACCGATTGGAGGGGACTAGAGCTTCCCCGCACTCAGTAATGTGCATGAGCGCCAACAGCTGACTAGGATTCAATACACTTGGAAAGTCTTATATGCACACAGTCTGAAAGCGTATGACAAGCCGGAAACCCCTCGGATCCGCACGCATGCGTACTGAGACTTCCCACAAGTACCCTTGCTTCCCCGCACTTTGACTGGGAACCCCCCTCTGCAGCTCAGTTGTAGCTATAAAACCCCTCAATGGAGCTTCATGTTGTAGGAATGGAAAGAGACGTTGTTTTGTCTGTTTGTAAATTACATCTTTGGCTTCCATAAAAATTAAAAGAAGAACGTGGTTGTTTGGGTCGCGGGCGATTGGAACTCGACAGGAACGCACGTTAGAACAGACGACTGACGTTGGAACATCATCCTAGTGAAGCATCAGAGCCGGAAGCATTCGGTAAGCTTATCATCTGGGTATTAAACCAGAAAATCCGCATTGATTTTGACTTCAGCATTCTTAATCTATCTCTATATTTCATTCGCTAACATTACATCTGTCACGCTTAGAAGAACATAAATTCACCACCATGGCCAGCCCAGCAAGCGCAAAACGCGACTCCATGGACGCAACAGCAAGCAGTCTTGAGACGAAAATGAAAGCTGCTTCCCTTGAACAATCGACGCGCAAGCGACCATTGGGTCTCACGGACCTTCCACCCTCTGTCCGCAACAACATCTACAGATACTGTTTAGACACTGAGATGGTCAATCTGGGCGAGCCGAACGTATCCTATACACACAAGATGGGTGACGGCGTGCTCAAATTCTCAGCCTCGCGGAAGCCCTTCCCAATCAATAGCAGTCTCTTCCACGTGAATAAAGAGTTCAGTAAAGACGCTCTGCGCTACTTTTACGAGAAGAATCTATGGGTAAGACTAGATATCTACACGGCGGATGCACGGCACGCAAAGACTTTGCTGGAAGACTCTGGTCTGCTGTTTTCCACTGCTTCACCAGATGCTGTCGAAAAAGCAACTCAGCATGCCCTCGAGGTGGTGCTGGTAGAAAAGAACTCTGCACAGAAACGCGCAAGCGTCATGTTTCCAGCGCAGTACCTACCTCGTCTGATCAACTTTTTCGATCAAGCAAGTCGCGCAACAGCAAGCTGGGCACCTATGCACACTCTCTTCTTGACCGTGATGAATACATACGACTTCCCCATTTCACAACTCCAAGGCGACTTGCTCGAGCCATTCAGACTGCTCTCCAACTTCGGAGGCGTCACAGTCGACAGCAAGAACCTCCTACCGCGATACTCAGAAGGACTGCAAAGCATGATGACGGAAAAGAGCTTCACAGCCGAATCTTATCTCGCCCGGGTAACCGAACTAGCAGATCGCTCCGACTCTGCGCGCGAAAAAGAAGAGTACCCTCTCGCAAACGATTACGCAAACGCCGTCATCATAGCCCTAACATACGGCTACCTAACTCACCCTGAAATCCTCCATTCACAAGACGAATCCTTCAGCAAAACTATCCAGCGCCTCCGCTGGCGCACAGAACTCGGGTTGGGCATTTCCCTCTCCATCCCCCTACGTAGCCTAACCTCTACAAAACACTGGATGCATACCCCAAACCCCACACCTGAAATCAAGAAAGCAGCAAGAGATTTACTGTTAGCTGAGACATCAGTCTCCAAAGCCCTAAGTCTAGTTATGGACTCCCCCTCTCCAGCATCAAACCCTTGGTTCCACTCGCTCCCGATTGAACTTATCCCAAACAATAAGCCTACTTTCTTCTCTGAGCGGGAAAAGGCACAGACGTGGTATGCACTGGGTACCGTGCACATGGCATTGGGGGAAAACATCTTTGCATGCGGGGACATGGAGCGCGCATTAGAGCTTTGGGGGAAGGAGAGTGGGGTTGATGAGGAAGATGGGTTGAGGGGCAGGATCGAGGAGGCGTTTGAGAGATCGAGGAAGGGGATTGATGGGGATGCAGAGAGTATGTGGGTTGGGGAGATTAGGCCGGGGACGGGGTTAAAGAGGGCGGCAAGGTTGGCGAGGGGGTTGTAGTTGGTTCTTTCGTATCGATACGTAATCTTTCTGGAGAGAGAGGATTAATGGACTTGGAGACACATCAAGGATACATATCTTCGAGTAGCATCAATAAGAAAAAAAGGTGAAAGTTTTTCCTTGTGACATCAAAGTTTCAAGTGGCAAGCATGTAGCTGACGAAGAGGTACCACGCAATAAGTATTGCTCAAGTTCCATGGTACACATACGATATTTTTACAAAGCCGGCATATAAATCATACAACCCCGCTTTAGGCACGTGGCTGACTCGACGCAGCCTTATTGCTCGAATTAACAAGCGCAGCCCAAGCATCACCACGCGCAGTCTTCTCCTGCACAGATCCCTCGTAGATACCCCGCAGACCATCAGAAGCAGATGCTGTCCTACGACGATCCTCCAACATGGACTCGACATAATCGTCCTGACCGCCCGCTGCCTTTGCCTTAATGGCCAAGTCTGCCTTATGAATCGCCCGCTCAAGGTATCTCCGCCTTTCCGCGTCCAGAGTCTGGTTGGTGGAAGCGGTTTCCGCCTCTGCGATTACCTTTGCGTACTCCGCCTTTTGCGCGGCCCGGAAAGCTGCTTCGCCGCCAGCTGCTTGCACGCGAGCAGCATATGTGGCTTCGGCAGCTTGCTTGTCGGGCCGAGCAGCTGCTTTCCAAGCCTCTATACTACCAGCTTCTTCAATCTCCTTTCGCTTACGCTGGTTGTAGGCAATCTTCATGGCAGTGTAGTCTTTGATGTTGGGCAGACTGAAGCGGTTCCGGATTTCCTGCAAGTCCTCGACAGTGAGGCCTGCCTCTTTGTATCTCCTGTAGGTTTTTTGTTTGAGGGAAACGGCTGCTTCTTTGCGCTCTTTTGCTCGGATGAAGGCTAGTTTGAGGCCCTCCTCCTCGCTGTCTACGAGACCTCGGGTCAAGTACCGCTGTGCAGCCTTGACGGCTTTGAGGTATTCGTTGGCAGCAAAGGCTGCGGTTCCCTTCTCATACTTTTCGAGCAGCTCAATCTCAAGTGAGGGGCTTTCAGGCGTGTCGGCTTCTTCTGGTGCCCACATCTGTTGCTCTTCGCTTTCCAGAAACTCTTCGCTTTCAAGTCCAGGTGTGCCTTCAGCCGCTTTGCGTACAGCCATCATCTGAGGAGTTGGCCATTGCTTGTCGATGGTGGCTTGGTCAAGTCCCAGAGCCGCGGCATCGGCACGCAATCGCTCAATAACCTCTGGCTTCTGCATGAGCGTCCAGCGGAGTGCCCATCCCATAGGCCCAAGCTCTTTGATGCGTGCCACATTGTCCTTGAGTAGATACTCGTCCAGTCCACCTTCACGGTCCATTGTCTTGAGCACCTTGGCTGTGATGCGCAGTTTTATCCTCTTCTTCAATGCAACCGAGTACAGACTCTTGGATAGGACGTTTGGCTGCCATTTCCGCCGGGTCTTGGTCTCGGTTTCTTTAGAGACATTGTTGCCGAACCGTATCATCTGCTCGCCGTAAAGACCCTTGTTTGCTTGCTTGAACAGCCTGTGCTCGCCGTATGGGTATGCGGGAATATATGCATCTTTGGGAATGACATTTTTGGGAAGGTGGGAGCCAAGATCACCGCCGCGTCGCCGCTGGAGAGGGTTCTTCACTGCGGGCGCAGGCGTGGGCGCAGTGGTTGCATACGTTCGCTGCGCCTGGTGAGCAGAGCGACCAACAGCTCCTGCGGCCGGAATGCGTCTGGAGAGCAATTGACACCGGACATGCATGGTAGGTGTGACGGGGAGCATGCGAAGTGCCCGTTGTGATGAATGGTTGATGTGCTCGGTGGTCCGCAAATTCGAGAAGCCCACAGCACGGACCCTCAACTTCACTTTCGTCCCATGTACAATCACGGGCGGAGCAAACCACTGGGACGACACAGCAGACACACAACAGCTTATTAAGCACATCTGTATATACAAATCCCCAGCTTTAATTCCGGCAGGCGAATATGGTAAACATGTCAGAATCTTCTCAACCGTCCACAGCCAACATCGCAGCTGCATGTGCCATCCTCGCTGGCGTCACTGGCTATATGCTCGGGCAGGCAAAATCTCTCGGCATCTTTGGCGGAAGTCCTATCTCACAGCCAGTAAAATCGAAGAAAGAAAAGGCAGACGACTCGGAAGAAGAGTCGAGCGATGACGAGGACGACAGCACACCGGCCGACTTTCCAGGCCAGGAAGAATGCAAAATGGTCCTGGTAGTGCGAACAGATCTCGGCATGACAAAGGGTACTGCTATTCTCCACTACTACTAGGAAATATTGCCTGACCTTTGACACAGGCAAGATTGGTGCGCAGTGCGGGCATGCGACACTGGCTTGCTACAAGCACTTCCTCCGAACCTCACCAGACTCCAATATACTTAAGCGTTGGGAGCGACTAGGGCAAGCCAAGGTCGCATTGCAGGTCAAGAGTGAAGAAGAACTAGAGCTGTTGCAGGCGCAAGCACTGAGTCTGGGTCTGGTAGCACACATCATCCATGACGCTGGGCGAACACAAATTGCAAGCGGAAGTGCGACTGTACTAGGCATTGGACCTGCACCAAAGAGTGTCATAGATCAGGTCACCGGGCATCTCAAGCTGCTGTAAGAGTACTGGCTCCGAAAGCTATGCAACACAATTTTGGGGCCTTAAAGTGGACCGGGAGAAGATGGCGACGCGCCATGTCTCAGTGATGCCTCGTATGCACATGCGGCGACAAGAGATCAAGCAAAGGTTTTCGGAAAAAACTTCATCAGCCATGTGCGGAGCTAATGGTATTCTTTACAAACACGTCCAAATCGCAGGAATTGCATCTGAAGCACCATTGTAGTTGCGACAGCGACTTCGCAAGCGTTCAGAAGAAGAAAAATTATTCCCTGCAAAGGTTACACGGCAGCAGAGTGAAGCAAATGTGGGCCTAGCAGTGTGATTTTCGTCGCCTATGGGAACGTTGGCGAGGACGCAATATGTGCTGGCTCTTGAGTGACGTGTGCTATTCAGGTAAATCTGTCGGTAGCCATAAGGTGGATCACGGCTGCTCAACAAATGCCATTCGCCATGTGCGGGTACCAGACGGGTTTCCGCACTCCTGGAATCCATCTTCTGATATAGGGTTGTTCGCCTATTGGTAATGGGTTGGTGTTGCAGAAGACGTATGGTGTACCTGCAACGATGGGTATAGAGTTGATGGTGTATCAAAGAATGAGACTTGTATGGAGACAATACATATAGCATCTCGTACTACGTGCAACGAGCTATGACTTGCATACGCAACATATGTACCTTGGCGATGGTCGTACACAAACCGATGAGACGCAGCTAAAGATAACCGAGTCGGAAAAGCACTTTCACGTGGACACTGATGTGTTACATTGCAACTTTTCCAGACCCTGTGACATTGTATTGGCTGCTTGTAATTCACAGAGTAGCACCAAAATTTGCGCTGTGTCAAAACAGGAACCGGGCGATGGAGATAGTCGTCATACCATTACTCTATTTGCATCAAAGCCGCACAAGGTCATGCAACAGCAGCACCTTTCCACCAGCTTGTGGCGCCCAAGACGAATACCACAACCATGGCATCGCTCACAACGGTGCTGTATATGACGCTGTACCTACCAACTGTCCTCACATATCCTGCATACGGCTCGGGCAAGATACCCGCGACCGTGCTGAGCATGCCACCTCCTTGCAACTGACCTTTCTCGATGAAATAGCGTGAAGACTGTAGGATAACCTCGAAAGTAGCAAAGAGATAGAAAAAGTGCGCAAAGTTGTCGGCTGGCGAAGACTGGGTGGTCCAGTCATCGTCGGGCACATTGTCGCGTAAGAACTTGGATCCGGTAAACGGCGTCTGTAACACTATATAGACAGCGAGTCCTAGGGAGAAGACGGAGTGCACCAGGCGCCAGATCCAGGCTGAAGACTGATCGGGCGAGGGCTCAGGAACAGCACCACCACCTTGCATGGCCGAAAGCATGTTGGCAAGGCCCGGTGGTGCACCTGCCTGGCCAGGACCGCCGGGCATGCCAGGCATACCACCTGCACCCGCGCCCATCATCTGCTGGAGCATTGCCATCATGGGGTCCTGGGCTGGGTCTGAGGCCTGCCCTGGGCCAAAAGGGTCTGTCTGGTTGGCCTCGGGAGCAAAGGGCGAGGGGAGTCGGGGACGAGATACGGGTGGATAATGGTGTTGTGATATGTCTACCTCATCTGGGTCAGGAGTGGCTGTTCCAGACCTAGAGGGTGTGCGCTGGGGAAAAGGGATTGGGGCAGGCTTGACTGGCATGCGGTTAGCCTCTGTTTATGGGCTCGGGAGAGTTTTCCGAACGACAAGGCTGTACGCACCCGGAACATCCTTCTCAACCTCACTGAGATCCCTGGGCGGGCCGCCTTGCAGTGCCGTGATCTGCTGCAGACGAGAAGCGCCGCTCTTTGCTGCTAGACGCTCTCTGCGTAGTCTGGCCTTTGTCTGGGCGGGGGACTCGCCAGGCAGGGCACCCGTTGCGGAGGCAGGCGAGTCGGCCATGTCCAAGGGGGATGGCGGGCGAGGAGAGAAGAAACTCGCAACTATATCCTGACTGTGCCGGTGGTTTTGACAACAGAATGCGGTCGTGTGTTGTGGTTGCAGTGGGTGGTGCGAAGCGCTGAGGTCATGGCCTTGGCGTCTCTCGCTAGCGTGTATGCACCTCGTCCCTCCTTTCACTTCGGCCCAAGCCCCTCCCCCTTTCCCGCCAAGTGCCAGTCGTCTTCTTCTTACCTAAACGCCAGGCCACCTGTACACCTACGACATGGCTGCCCCGTCGCTTCGTAGCACACGCGGTACGGGCCGTCATACTATGTAATATCCACCCTCATCTCACCGCGTCATCTTGAGCCGCCCCTTTCGTAATCAGCATTTTTGTATCACTCATCATTGTCATAACCCCCTCAGGGATGGTCGCATGCAGTGCCACCCCAACGCTACCTGGGTCTTCTTCTGGGAATAGCTGGACCCGACGCTCAGGCTTTTGGGCCACGGCAGATTATCCTGGCCACCTTGGTGTGCATGTTGGGCTTTTGTTGCAGCTGCTAACGAGCCTAGAGCTGGATTCGCCCAGCAGCTCCCTTGGGGCCTTGATCATCGCAGCCACATCATACTTACTTCCACATCATAATTACTTCCACACCATAATTACTTCCCACCATCATCCACCAGCGCCATCAGCTCCTCAACCCAGCGCTTCCAGCGGCGCGGTCGCACGGGAGCGAAGCCGGTTGGTACTGCCCCACGATCCTTCGGCTGCTGGTTCTGTGTTCCTTTCCCTACATTCAGCTCCACATTGTTCCTTCGCCCCCTGATGTTGCAATAACTATGTTTGCTTGTTATCGGCTCTAGCCCTATCACATGCCACAAGTCTTCTGTATTGCGCCCCGCAGCCTCCTACAGGGCTTGTAAAAAGGACACACAAATACTGTTTAATAGAAGACAGCCTTAACGTATTCTTCCATGGCATCGTCGACACGAGATTGGTGGCGCTCCACAATGTGCCTGCGTGCTTGGAGAATATTTCGCATTCTCCGTAGATCCACACTGCGTTCGGTAGCCCGGCTGCAACCGTCCAAGCTGCAAGGAAGTGTATTCGTTGTATCCACATTACCACCGTGCGAGCAATACGGAGTATCCTAAGGCGTCGTTGCACGGCATGTCACAGATTCGACAAGTAACTTTTGCGCACCACAAAAAGCAAATGCTTCATTTTATGTACCATCCTTTATACTCTTCCTTCCATCCCACCTTCACACATGAAGTTTCTATCCTAGATCTCGTCTTCTTCTCTTGATACATGTAAACATGTTCGCCCCAAGCATCAAGTCCAAGACCCAATCCCTGCGCCCACGCAACTTTCGCTTGGTGCCATTGTCACAGCAATACCGAGCCCAGTCGAGTTTGAGCAATAACAAGTCCTACTGGAGCCACATCCCGTCTTGGAAAGATGTTTCTAACGATGAGTTTGTGTCATATCGGTGGCAGGTATGTTATTTACAGCATCTTATCAATCTCCAGCTATGCCACGTATATCTTCTTGAGTAGCTAATTCCTTTCCCGTAGCTGCGAAATACTGTCTCAGACAAACACAAGCTTTACAAATTCCTTGACGAGATTCTGCCGGAGAGACTGGGCTCTACCGAGAACGAACAATTGAAAAGGATCCGGACAAAAAGCAACTTTATCGAGGATGCTGTACGCAATAATCCTTTACCTAGTTGTCTTGAATTATCCACCAGTGCTAATATCATGTTAGATTGCTGCCATCAAGTTGGCACCAATGGCCATCCGCTTAACACCCCATGTCCTCTCGTTGGTTGATTGGAACAATCCTTTGGATGACCCAATCCGGAGACAGTTCCTTCCTCTCAGGAGTGGTATCATCCCGGACCATAAGTATCTCGAGTTGGACTCGTTGCACGAGGAGCAAGACAGTCCTGTTCCTGGTCTGGTACATCGTTATCCTGGACGAGCTTTGTTTTTAGCCACATCAATATGCCCCGTCTACTGTCGCTTTTGCACCCGATCGTACGCAGTTGGTGGTAATACTGATACGGTATCGAAAAAGCCACAAAAACCTAGCCGGAAGCGATGGGAAGTTGTATTCGAGCACATTGCCAACGATGAATCTCTTCAAGACATTGTTGTTTCGGGCGGAGACTCTTACTTCTTGCAACCAGACCACGTCAGAGAGATTGGTGAAAGGCTGCTGGACATCCCTCACATCAAGCGTGTTCGCTTTGCCTCGAAAGGACTGGCCGTTGCGCCTGGTCGTATTCTCGATGATTCGGACCCCTGGACTGACAGTCTGATTGCCGTATCTAACAAAGGCCGAGAGTAAGATGCTACATACCTAAGTCAACAAATGCGTTATTAGCTAACTCAATTCTCCAAATTTACAGAATGGGAAAGCAAGTGTGCCTACACACTCATATCAACCATGCAAATGAAATTACTTGGATAACAAGGCTCGCTGCAAACAAGCTATTCAAGCACGGTGTTATTGTCCGTAATCAGTCAGTCTTATTGAAAGGGGTCAACAACACCTTTACGGCACTTTCCGATCTCATCAAGTCGCTGTCCGATATCAACATTCAGCCGTACTACGTGTATCAATGCGACATGGTACAAGGCATTGAGGATCTTCGTACCCCCCTCCACGAGATTATTGGCCTTGATAAACAAATACGGGGAACCCTTTCAGGCTTTATGATGCCATCCTTTGTAATCGATCTTCCTGGAGGCGGCGGAAAACGGCTTGTGTCCACCTATGAGAAGTACGAACATGGTATCGCTACATACAAGGCCCCTGGTCTCCCTGGTGTCAAGGGCGAAATGACGTACACCTACCATGATCCCAAGCCTGTCAAGACAGCCGTCCTCGAAGACTTCCAGCAACGCCAACTCGAGGCGCTCGAACGGGGAGAGACACTAGAACAATTCTTCGCTCAATCAGCTGCTCGCTTACCACATCCACCTTTGCCGAATTCTTCATCAAATCAGAATCCTCTGTGCCCACAACCTACATCAACGGACATCGTCCCGGAATTCTGGGCTCCTACTCCAAAGCCAGCATATGCCTACTCTCAGGGAATGTGATTGCCTATCGCACTCAACCACAGACATACGAGACCCACGTTGACAGAGTCGGCTTCTCTAACTGTTACCATGACACCCATACAAGAAAAGAGAAATACGTTTCTGTTAGAATTTAGATTGCATCCTCCTTTTTCACAACCGGAAAACAAAATGTACAAAATGGTGAGACGGCCGTATGGGACTTGTTCGTGTACTTGTACATACACAGAGTCTTTTGTTTATTACCCCATTATCTTTTCCTATCTACTACCCCTCATCTATCCGTTCAAAATTTCTCTCTCTCTCTCTCTCTCTTACTTGTGAGTAAGAGTGCTGCCTGTTATGGCGCCCCAACAAATGTTTCGGTTCTGTCCTTGTAATACATTCACCACACAAACTGTCTTAGTAGATTTTACCATTAAATAGAAGTATTATATATGCTTGCTTAAACTACTTTTCCCCCTACTATCAATCTGATAATCTAACTGTATGTATTCCTCATTTGGGCAAATCCAGCTTCATCACGAACAACGGCAAAAAGAGCAAGAAGGATAAAGCATGGAACGCACAATTTGAAAAAAGAAGTCATAACGTCTTGAATTTCCATATCAAAAAAAGTTAACTTGCACATCCCTTATTCAACCCTCTACATACGTGCATGGTTACACTCCCGACAGCCGTTTAAGTCATGTCGACTCGCATCTTTCTTTCCCAACATTTGGCGACGAAAAAAAAGACAAGGGGTTTGTCCTGCCACCACCTCCTCCCGTCAGCGCTACTATGGCTATGCCGCGTCTTTCTCTCTCTTTTTCTCTCTTCCTTCGCCGCTACCATCGCCCATATAGTACAAAGAACAGATTATGTGACCCAGGTGGAAATATCTGAGCAAATAAAACAGCGCGCGAAGAACAAAAAAATCAAACAGACAAACAACAATAACAAGTAGAGTGGGTTATGTGGATAGAACACAAACACGCACGCACACAAAATAAACGACAAAGATGCCCCATACGCCACAGAGATGAGACGAGAGAGAGAGAAAAAAGATTTGCGCAAAAGACAGACACGAACGGCAAGCTACCAAACGAAACAACGCAATTCCGCCCAAGAAAAAGAGTTTGAAATGGGGTAATAAATGGGGAGAGATCTAACGCCGTTGAAGGACTTGCTTTGAGAAGCAAAAAAAAGTGGGGGGCAACGCCGCGCTATACAAGAGGTAGAGGGATGCGATGAACGTAGCGGAAGCCATGAAAGCGTCGCGAACAGGCAATGCAGATACATAAATGGAAGACCAAAAGGGGAGAGGGAGAGGCAATAAAGAAGAAGAGGAGGAGGAGGAGGAAGAACAAGGCTGACAATTAGTTGCCTGCCTTCATCCTCTTGTTGCCTCCGCCGACTCTTGGGCTTTGTTTGACTTTTGCTGCACCATTCATTTCTCCGCCATCATCCATTTCCATCTTTGCTGTACTTCGCCGCCGTTTGTTGTTCATGTTCGGTGATGTATTGACGCTCATTGTGTGCGAGCTGGTGCTTTGCTGCTTCATCATAGGCTGCGAATGAGGTGATGGCGTATGGTTGAAATGAGGCGATCCACTCGATCCGTTAGGAAGTAATGAGTTCTGCATCGCAGGCGACATGAACATTTGGCCGGGCTGGCCAGGTCCCGAGGGTCGTGCTCCTGGTGGCATGTTAGGCTGCATGCCTTGACCAGACTGCTGTCCTTGATTTGGGCCCTGCGGGCCTTGCAGCATTTGGTTGTTGGACATGGTTGCGTTCCAGGACTCGAGGGCTTCGCTTGGTTTCATGTGAGGGTTCTCGAGATAGTGTGCCATCAAGCTAGTCATGTGATTCATAGGCTCGTATATCTAGTCTTGTTAGTGTCAATTTCAATGGAAACAATGCAATGCGTGGTCTTACCTCAAGATAATTCTGCAAGCCGTGTGGTAAGCCATAGTCTGTAGCACCAGCACTAATCAGCTTGTTCAGCGGTAGATACGGCTCTGGTGGTTCTTGTCCGGCTCGTTGTAGTGCTTGTTTCTTGTTCTTCATCCTTGGAGACTGGGTCGGGTTCATTTGATTAGGCGATGGCTGAACGAACATCTGTCTTAGAGCGTTGAGCGGCAGGAATTGTTCGTGACCGGTGCCATCGAACATCAACCATTCCATCTTGTCTGACCCAGACCAAAAGGCTGTCAATTTTCCGTGATAGACGACCTGACATGAGTTTTTGTACGTGTAAATTAACTTGGCACGGTCACAAGTAACCTTGACCTCGTTAGGCCCAACCTTCTCGTTGGCTCCATCCAAGGTGATCTGCAGATTTGTGACATCGGTATTGAAGAGAGTGTAGAAGTACCGCGGTAGCGCAGCGTATACAATCTCAAACTGCTTGGTTCTCTCTGTACTTGATGAGCAGACCACGTGAATGAAGGATCCAGTTTCCATGAAGAACTTTTCCACGAAGGCCTGCCATCTCTCCACGTTGTTGTTCTTCCTGTTCTCCTCAGGTGCCATGTCGAACCTTCCTATTTGATCGGTAAAGTTCAACAACTTCAGCGTACCCTGGCCATGCTTGTTCTGTTGCATCAATGCCATGTTACGGGCGTGATTTTGCTGTGCGTTTACTTGAGCCTGAGCCTGAGCCTGTTGCATTAACGCTGGATTCCGTACTTGCAGGGTCGCTTGCTGAGGTAGATTAGGTGGTTGAGTGGGAGCAGGAGTCTGCTGTTGCGCTGCCGGACCGGACTGTGGCTGTTGTTGCTGAGCTGGCTGTGGTTGCTGCTGTTGTGTTTGTTGTTGCTGTTGCTGCTGTTGCTGAGCTTGTTGCTGGGCTTGCTGTTGCTGCTGAGCCTGCTGCTGAGCCTGTTGTTGTTGTTGTTGTTGAGCCTGCTGGGCCTGTTGCTGCTGAGCTTGCTGCTGAGCCTGTTGTTGCTGCTGCTGGGCCTGTTGTTGGGCCTGCTGCTGAGCCTGTTGCTGTTGCTGGGCTTGCTGTTGAGCCTGCTGAGCCTGCTGCTGTTGCTGCTGTACTTGCTGTTGCTGCTGTTGATGTTGCTGTTGCTGGAGTTGTTGCTGTTGCTGCGGTGGTGGCTGTGGTTGCTGCTGAGGCGTGGGTTGAGGAGCTGGCGAAGACTGCCCCTGGTGGCTTCCTATTGCTGAAGGGGGACGAAGAGGGCCTTGCTGGGGCTGCGAAGTCTGCTGAGGCCCTTGGTTTCCTCCCTGACTGTGGTTGCTGGATTGTGATTGAGCATGTTGCATGGCGATGGCCTGTTGCTGCTGCATCTGCTGGTGCTGCTGAGCTTGTTGATGGGCCTGTGCCATAGCAGCCTGATGTTGTGGCCCTCCAGGCTGTCCCATTTGCTGCTGCTGCTGGAGCAGGTGTGGCGGAAGATTGACAAAAGGACCCTGGCCTAGCTGTCCGTTGCGCATCGCCTGCAACTGCTGTGCTTGGGCTGGGTTCATGTTTGCCATGGGATTTTGGTAACCCATGCCCATGTTACCTTGTTGATGAGCAAGCATTGCTGCTTGCTGCTGCTGGCGATGCATAAACGCTTGCTGGGCAGTCCTTTGCTGTTGCATGAGTGCGGGATTCACTGCGATTCTTGTCAGCCAATCTTCAATGTGGAATGTAGTAGGTGGGGGATGTTTACTCATTTGATGTTGCTGCTGTTGCTGTTGCTGCTGCTGAGGAAACATGTGGGCTTGCTGGGGCTGCAAGTGTGAGAGGGCATGGGCATTTGGCCCTCCCATGCCGCCGGGCTGCATGCCGCCCATCATAGGCCCTGCCTGACTAACAGGACCATTGGGACCTGAGACGTGTTGCATGCCCGGCGGCATTCCAGGTTGTCCAGGGTTTGGGCCTGGGCCTCCCATGCCTGGGTGCGCATGAGGCATGCCCTGTGGGTGCATGCCACCATTGTGTGGGTAGCTCGTGGTCATCATCTTGGTATGTTTTTAATGTGGGCCGCGGCCTCGCAGTCGCGGAAGAGGGCCTAGGAATATGGGGTACGCGCAGTGAGAAGCTCGGAATACAGGATGGCAAAGTATAGATAGAGTGACGGAGCGGATAGCAAGATGGGCAAAGCAACGCTACTGGTCCTGGGTCATACGTGCTCTAAGGGTCGCGTCAAAAGTGTCGTAGGGCGTGATGGGTCAGAGACGATGAGTGGCAATGGAGTGGTCTCAAGGGAGTGCGAATGGCAGACACGGTGCCGAGATGTGGCAGGGTAACGGGGTGTCCGCGCCGAAGTCGCGATGGGCGCGATGGAGGCCGCTCGGGCGACGGTCGGTCCTAGGCGGAAATGCAGGCGACAGGGCGAGAGGAGCAAGTGTCGTCGCGCAAGAGTGTAGCGCGATACTCACGAGGGAGGGGTGGCGGCGTTGATGTATGCTGCCAGAGCTGGCGCGGTGTCGTGTTCGGTGATATCGTGTCGCATCCGTCCCGCCAGCACAGCAGTGGAGCGGGAACGAGAGGGAGAGAGAGGCGGTACGAGGGCAGCAATGGGCGTGGCAGCGATTCTGTCTATGCACGTCGTGTTATGCGACGGTGCATCTGGTGTAGGCTTGGATGTTTGGATCCAGGGCCAGGGACGGTGCCAGGGACGCGGGCGTCGAGTGGTGGAGTTCTGGTGTGGTGAGAGGTGATGGGCGCATGGCCTCGCCGAAGATCAGCGCTGGTTAGGGGGCCGTTTCGGTATCGCGCGAAAAGCTGCGTGGCTGGGCACCCAATCTATCCGGCCGCCAGTGCAGTCAGGCTTCAGAGGCAGAGAGAGGGCGCACTGGCGCTGGCACAATTCAGAAGATAGCACTGCACGGCTGCTCGCGTCTCGTTATCTGCTGATGCAGGCCGGTGTGCACGATAATGGCCTCTTCACCGGCACGCCGCTGTCTCGCTGTCGCCCTCTTCTCTCATGACGCTTGCTAATTCTCCCGCTTACTGCTTCCGGCCCATCACGTGATACTTTCCATCTTGGCACGCTAGTTGTGCGTCGCACTTTTCTTCCCTCGCGACCTCAGTCTTTTCTCGCCCACACTCTCGCCCTGCTCCTCAGCGCGGCGCTGCGCAGCGTATGGCGTGCACGCGTATGCGCATAACCACTGGCTCCGGGCTGCGACGTGCAATATCACGAGTCCCCGGGGCCAGACTCTGTGCATGATGTAAGTTGTCTCCTTTTTCTTTGCTTTTTTGGAGTGATTATAGCCTCAGCAACTTCTTTTCCATACCGATTCGACCTTGAAGAAAGCGGAGCTGTCCGGGTACCTTCGCAGGGCGCCTGCTACTTGCCAGTACTGTCGTCTGACCTTCCCCAATCTCATCGATCAATTTAGCTTTCTCTCCTTGTCTGATTGCTAACATTGCTCAAGTTAGAGTTCGCCATGATTATCCCGACGCATGCCGGCCCTTGGTGCTGACTGGCCAGCATCCACCCTCATACACCAGACGCTTGGTGCGACACGGCGCCCTTGCGGTCAGCGCAAAGCCTAATGGGAATAATGTACACATACATAATGCGGCACTGTTCTGTCGCGTGTCTGGTCGCGCTGCAATTCTCAAAGGTCAGTTAGCTCTTTTTTTTTTGCACACCTTTCACCCACCCCCTTCATGATGAAACATTTCCACATTCGCAGTTTCCACGCTAGCCATCAATTGAACCTACAACCGATGGACAATGAGCGCGAATACCTTCCTTGGATGTCTGATCCTTCAATCCATTCTGTCCCGTACTTGTTCAAACTTTTCTGCGCAACGACTGACAAGAATCAACAGACTTCATGCATTAGTTCTTGAAGAATACTGCTTGATGTGACGAATACCAACTGGCTTGGAACGTAGATAGATACATAGCAATTATATATTTATTGTTGTAGTGCAAATTCATAATTATGTACACTTCCCTCTGGTGACGTGACGTCGGCCATCGACAGTTCCTTGTCGCGTCTGGTGGCAGGCACTGGCTATACTACACGCTAAACAGGCCTGTGACCGTGGGCACTGCATTCCCATCTCATGTGACCTCGATCCCAGTTGCAGCTACCCAGGCAGCTCACTATGAGTTTGTTTTTGAGCGCGAGCCCGTATTAGCGCATGTCTGTCGAACCGGATGCATATCTGCGGATATTACAAACTATGCCACTGTGAATACTACTGAAGCTACAGAGTAAAAGCACCATGGCATGCTTCGGCATTTATGTATCTGCAGCCATTGTGAAGTGCCAAGCGCTAACAGCCCCCCCCCCGGCGTCATCTGTCGCATAACGCTAGAGCACCCTGGTCAGAGCTTCCAACCCACTTCGACGGCTTGACCTTCAACTTCGTCACCCAAACGATCTCCGAGGCTACAGACCGACCGCGGCTCTCGAATCAATCCCGAGCGATACTACATCTCCAACGAACCGCTCACCACTGCCATCATGCCTGAAGTAGTGGACCCCCGCATGATTTCGGTGACGCCTAGAATACGATACAACACCATCGGCGGCGTAAACGGTCCACTCGTCATTCTTGACAATGTATGTGGCTTGGAAGCATATCGACACATGAAAAGAAGCTTATGCATGCGGCGGACAGGTCAAATTCCCGCGATACAACGAGATTGTATCCTTGACGCTGCCTGATGGCACCGAGCGCTCTGGCCAAGTCCTCGAAGCTCGAGGTAAGCTACCCCAGATATTGAACCTGTAGGTATGATGCTGATCCAAGCTGTAGGTAATCGCGCCGTCGTTCAGGTAAACTTTGAAAAGCTGAAGCCGCGCGACAACCTTTTCTGACTGCGACACAGGTCTTCGAGGGTACATCCGGTATTGACGTTCAGAAGGTCCTTACACCCGCCTCCCACAGAGGATGATAGCTGACTGTCGCAGACCAAAGTCGAATTCACTGGACACAGCCTGAAGCTCGGTGTGTCCGAGGACATGCTGGGTCGCATCTTCGATGGTTCAGGAAAGCCCATTGACAAGGGCCCCAAGGTCCTCGCTGAGGACTACCTCGACATCAACGGTAGTCCCATCAACCCGTACTCTCGAGTATGTATCCAGTCCATATTTGTTTCATCGCACAACTGACCATATTTCAGGTGTACCCCGAAGAGATGATCTCTACAGGTATCTCGGCCATTGACACAATGAACTCTATTGCTCGTGGTCAGAAGATTCCCATCTTCTCCTCCTCCGGTCTTCCCCACAACGAAATCGCTGCGCAGATTTGTAGACAAGCTGGTCTAGTCGGAAAACCTACCAAGGGCGTACACGACGACCACGACGACAACTTCTCCATTGTCTTCGGTGCTATGGGTGTGAACTTGGAGACGAGCCGCTTCTTCACTCGCGATTTCGAGGAGAACGGCAGTATGGAGCGTGTCACATTGTTCCTCAACTTGGCAAACGACCCTACGTAAGCGTCCGACTCTCTTGTAACCCTTGCTTCTAGCTAATCTAGCGTAGTATCGAGCGTATTATTACTCCTCGTCTCGCTCTTACAACCGCCGAATACTACGCCTACCAGCTTGAGAAGCACGTATTGGTCATTCTTACCGATTTGTCTTCCTACTGCGATGCGCTACGTGAAGTCTCGGCCGCTAGAGAAGAAGTCCCCGGTCGACGTGGTTACCCCGGTTACATGTACACTGATTTGTCCACCATCTACGAGCGCGCAGGACGTGTCGAAGGCCGCAACGGATCAATTACCCAGATTCCTATTCTGACTATGCCCAACGATGGTGTGTATCACAGTATCATGATTATAACTGCGTACTGACAATAGCAGATATCACACATCCCATTCCCGACTTGACTGGTTATATTACCGAGGGCCAGATCTTCATTGATCGTCAACTCGACAACAAGGGTATCTACCCTCCCATCAACGTCCTCCCATCGCTTTCTCGTCTTATGAAGTCCGCCATTGGTGAGGGCCGTACACGGAAAGACCACGGTGATGTTTCCAACCAGCTTTACGCAAAGTACGCCATTGGTCGTGACGCCGCAGCCATGAAGGCAGTCGTTGGAGAGGAAGCCTTGTCTTCCGAAGATAAGCTATCCCTCGAGTTCCTTGAGAAGTTCGAGCGTTCCTTCATTGCTCAGGGTGCTTACGAATCTCGTTCCATTCACGAGTCTCTCGACTTAGCATGGTCGCTACTCCGCATTTACCCCAAGGAACTCCTCAACCGTATCCCAGCCAAGGTCCTTGACCAGTACTACCAGAGGAGTCGTGGTGGTGCTGATGGCGACAAGAAGAAGAGCAACAAGGATACTAAGGACAACTCTGGTGAAGGTCAGCAGGGCGAGAACTTAATCGATGTTTGAGTAGGTAGTATGGCATGTGTTTGAGTCATGCGACGATGGTCTGGTTTGCTAAGCGCCCAAGCGGTTGTGAGATACTATATTAAATACACAAATGTATTGAATCTGAGTTGATTGTCGTACTTCAGTATGGGAGAATGAATTAACAATTAATGCTATATGTGACGGTGCACTCTTCTTGGTGATGATGAGGACTTCAACGCTGTTGATATCCTTTCGGTATACAATCAATAAATCACAGTCCTCATATTTAGAGTAGAAAACTACATTTGCCTTCCATATCCATATGTCAATGCTCTCAGTGACTCGTATACGGATCTTGCCGAAAGGTATCCTTGTTCTCTGTACTTTAGACATCAAATAGACTAGAAGCATGCGATGATTTTGAAGCCATCATCTCAATTGCTCAACAATATCGTGATATGCATGCCCTTTACCCGATGAGGATGACGAATTGGCAATGCGATCCCTTTCACTACCTCGAGTCCGTAGTTTTCACTCACTTTCCCTAACGGGAAATAACGCAAACGTCCGTTTGCTCACCATCACCACTCCCAAGCCGAGCTCATGATTTGATCACCCATCACACATCACCACACAAATCTTCGCTTCGATAACAACAAATTCTCACTACTTGGAAGAATACCAATATCCACTACTGACCCTTCAACCGCTACTACACCAAGGTAGTAGCTTCCACACCAGAGACCTCTAGAACCAGAGATCTCTGAAATCAAACACTAGAGAAAATGGCAGCAAGGTAGGCACACCCCCTCTAAATTCTCTGTTGCGGTCACCACCGCGTTTGGTTTTCTGTTCTGGGCAATTTGAGCGTTTCCTGCTTTTTTGTTTTCTGAACGAGGTAAGGTGGAAAAAAGTGTATGGAGGGCCAGGGTAGGAATTAAACGGCCATCAATTGGGTTTTTCCGCAACTGACAGTCAGTTTTGGCCGGCTGGGGCTAATGGGCGATGGGATTTGGTGGCGAGACAGCTCGTAGGTGTTTGTAAGTTCTCCAAGATTGACAATAAAAAAGCTCCTACTAACGAGTGGGCCACATCTGCCTTTCGAATACATTTTGCTTCAACTGCTATCCGGACACTTCAGCCGTGACGCTACCAATCAATGGGCCCGAAGAAGGTTACCTCAAGCGTTTGCATTCTTATGCAATATTGGGCCTATGGGTGATCAACCCGTTCTATCCATTCTTATTCGTTGGGCAAGACGACTACAAAGACACACAAGTGTCTGAAAGATCGGAATTCAAGAGACTAGATACAATTGGCTTCGAAAAGAAACCTATACGGGTTGCTGCTCCATCCTTTGGTGAGCATTTACTAATATGAATACACAGATACCCAGTGTATAGCATAGACTTCGTCCATGGCATATCTCCGGAAGAGCAAGAGGGGATATACCACGATATATGCAACAGAAACGACCCCACATCGGTAATTGAGGGGTTCGCTTTTGGAAGGGAAGCTCCCTCGCACTTCCCTCCGGGGGCCATAGGCACAGAAGCCTATGTCAAGAAGGGATGGCACGAGCCAGACCGATACCCACACTTTACCGTGGAGCTGCGCTTCGTATTTCTCTAGTAAGCCATTTCTCGAAGCGGGTTCAGTCCAAACTTGAACTTTGCTATGACTCGGGCTGATGTGTGCTTAGCGGCGAGCATAAGCGGGTGGCAACCGCCCATGTCTACAAAAACTGGTCGGAGACGATAGAATTCGTGGCCGATGAGTGGTGGTGAGAATTTTAGTTTCCAGATGTGTCGCCGGCTTCCGATTGCTCCGTAGGTTACGCTGGTACAAGCAGTATCGCGATCAGCGTTACATGATTTGGGACGTAAGTGCTAGTCGGTGGCTGTGAAGAACAATCGGCGAAACGTCTGACTCTGGCTAGACGAGATTGCAGCGACCTAAGAATACCATGGAACCGCCTGGGGGACCGCTCCCTCAATATGCCCTTCCAGTACGTCTTCCTTGTTTACAAACTCGTAGAGCACAAGTTGTATTTGAAGTCTTGAACACCAATTGGGCTTCTTTACTGTATTTTCATCTTTTTGCGCGCTGATAATTTTTACTACAGCGCCCCCCATCAACACCTATTTCTGCACGTTCGCTGGTGCCACCCCCTCCCGCTTCTCCTCCTGTGGAAATACCAGCCTTCGGGCACCCCTTTCTCCTCCCGCGCCCTTCATAGTGTCTTCGGTATGTGTATAGAAACCCCCCAAAAGCCCCCACATTCTTTGTCTTAAGCCCTCAAATGGTTGTTCTCCTGGCCTTGGGTTCATCGGGTCCTTTCTGAAGTCGTGGAACAAGACGCCGTAAACGACGATGAAGCTGATCAGACTCCACTGCACCACTTTGGTCCATTTGTTCCACAATGGCCGCTCAGACTTCAACTTGATGCGCCGCTTAAATTTGCGCTCGAATCGGAATTGCTGCTTTTCCGTCAGGGCGCGGAGGTTTGGCGGCCATTTCTTCTTGACGTGGTATTTGTTGCGCGCAAAGTCAAAGGGCGGCAGTGTGTTCTCATGGCGGCCAAGGAGACGATTGATGAGGCGGAACATCTTGACTGACCTTGCCGATGCGATGGCGGCGCGATGTTGACTTATGCGACCGATTTTCGAGCGACGCAGATTTTTGGATCTATCTCGATCGTCAACTGACGTTCTTTACAAAAGCGCGCACGGTCCAAGGTCCGCCCCACAAAAACCGCACTCTTGGCATTCATCCCGCACTCGGATTTCCTACTGGATGACTCCATCACAAACAAACTCGCCTCCGCCACCACCAACCACTTTTTCTTTTCCCTTCTTACGCTCCCTATTTTGTTTCCTGGAGAATTGGTCATGGCCGAGACCACAAAATCCAGCGAGACGCCCAAGAGCGCCGTCGCCGCCACACTTGAGCAACTCAAGCCCCAGGAGGCTGAGTCAAAGACACTCAAAATTGAAAACACCGACAAGCGTGACACCTTGATCGCGGAAGAGAAGAAGTACCAGAAATCATGGGAAGAGCAGGGCATTTTTAACCCCGATGCCCCCTCACTTGAGGAGGAGCCGTTTGACACTACCACACCAGACCAACTTCACGAGAAGTTCCCCAAGTGGCTTGGCTGCTTCGCTTATCCCTACATGAATGGAACCCTTCACGCTGGCCATGGCTTTACTGCAAGTAAAGTTGAGTTTACTGCCGGCTGTATGTTTTACTGAATGATCACGTGCAAGATGTTTACTGATACTTTGACAGTCCAGAAGATGCTGGGTAAGCGAGTGCTCTTCCCATTGGGATGGCACGTAACTGGTATGCCTATCAAAGCATGCGCCGACAAGCTCGTCAGAGAAGTGGAGATGTTCGGGCAGAACTTTGAACGTTGCCCAGTCGAGGATGTCGTTGAGACAGCCGTATCAGAGCCCCCCGCCCCCACACAAGCTGAGACCAAGACCGACATCACCAAATTCAAGGCTCAGAAAGGCAAGGCGGCCGCCAAGACAGTGAAGACCAAGTACCAGTTCCAGATCATGCTTGCTCAAGGCATACCTCTAGAAGAGATCCACAAGTTCTCTGACCCATATCACTGGATAGAATTCTTCCCCCCGCTCGCAAAGAGGGATCTCACAGCATTTGGCGCCAGGATCGACTGGAGGCGTCAATTTGTCACAACGGACGCAAACCCCTACTACGACAGCTTTGTTGCTTGGCAAATGCGACGACTGAAAGCAATGGGCAAGATCATTTTTGCTAAGCGATATACTGTCTACAGTCCGAAAGACGGCCAAGCCTGCATGGACCATGACAGGCAGTCTGGAGAAGGTGTCACTGTTCAGGAGTACACGGCCCTGAAGATGAAGGTAGTCAAATGGGCTGACTCCGCCAAAACACATATCGCTAGTCTCCCTGAAGGTGCTTCCTGCTACTTTGTGCCAGCTACACTCCGTCCCGAGACGATGTACGGCCAAACTTCATGTTTCGTAGGCCCTTCAATCAACTACTCACTGGTCAAGATTAATGACAGTGAGTACTTCGTACTGAGCGAGAGAGCCGCAAGAAACATGTCATACCAGGGAACTACCGCCAAATGGGGAGAGTACTCGATCATCGCTACATTCCCCGGTAAGGATGTCATAGGCACCATCGTCAACGCTCCTCTCTCCGTCCACAAGGAAGTTTACATTCTTCCAATGGAGACTGTCAAGGACACAAAGGGCACAGCTGTCGTTACCTGCGTACCATCAGACTCGCCAGATGATTACATCACGTCATTTGACCTGGCTAAGAAGGCGGATTATTACGGAATTCAAAAAGAATGGGTCAAGTTCGACAACCTACTTGGCATCATAGAGACTCCAACCTACGGAAACCTCACTGCACAAAAGCTGGTCGAGGAGATGAAGATTCAATCGCCTAAGGACTCCGCGAAGCTTGCTGAGGCCAAAGAGAAGGCATACAAGGAAGGCTTCTACAAGGGCAAGATGGTGTATGGTGACTTCGCTGGTAAGCCAGTTGAGGAGGCCAAGCTATTGGTTCGTAAGCAACTTATTGACTCTGGTGTCGCTTTCCCTTACGCTGAGCCTGATGGCAAGGTCATCAGCCGTAGTGGAGACGATTGTGTTGCGGCCCTGCTTGACCAGTGGTATATGAACTACGGCACAGCAGCCAACGGCGGAGATGGCGAGTGGGCCGAAAAGGTCCGATCCCACATCGAGGGCGAACTCAATCTCTACTACCCCGAAGCGAAGAACCAGTTCTTGCGAGTTGTTGACTGGCTCGGCATCTGGGCATGCGCTCGATCCTACGGACTGGGAACCAAGGTGCCTTGGGACCCCAGTGTGATGGTTGAGAGTTTATCCGATAGTACTATCTACCAGGCATACTACTCATTTGCTCATTTGCTGCACAAGGACATGTTCGGCAAAGAACCAGGCCCTCTTGGTGTCAAACCTGACCAGATGACGGACGAAGCCTGGGACTACGTCTTTGCCCTCCGCGACCGAAGCGATGTCCCGCAATCAACAATTCCTAAGCAGGCTCTCGAGACTATGCGACGCCACTTCGACTACTGGTACCCGCTCGACCAACGTTCTTCTGGCAAGGATCTCATTCAAAACCATCTGACGATGAACCTATATGTACATGCCGCAATCTTTCCGAAGGAGAACTGGCCACGCAGCTTCCGTGTCAACGGCCACTTGCTACTCAACGGTGACAAGATGAGCAAGTCTACTGGTAACTTCTTGACCATCGCTGGCGCGGTCCAAAAGTTCGGTGCAGATGCTACACGTATTGCTCTGGCCGACGCCGGAGACGAGATTTCAGACGCCAATTTCGAGGAGACTGTCGCAAACAGTAACATTCTGAAGTTGTTCGAGCTCCGCAAGTGGTGTGAAGATTTGATGAACGAGGCCATCTACGTCCCTGATGCGGCTGCATACATGGAGAAGAGGGCAAACGAGCGCGTAAAGAACGCCGATGTGATTCAGCGACAGAGCGGTAGTGAGCGCCTCCTGTTCGACAAGATGTTCGACAACGAGATGAACGTGCTCGTCCACGAAGCTTTTGGTCACTACTCCAACACTTCGTACAAGTTAGCCCTCAAGTCTGGATTCTACGACTTTACCAGCGCGCGTGACTTCTATCGTGAAGCGACCAAGGCGGCAGGAATTGGTATGCACCAGGATCTTGTCAAGAAGTTCATTGAACTACAAGCTCTCCTCCTTACGCCACTCGCGCCACACTGGGCAGAATACATCTGGCTCGAGGTACTCAAGAACAAGGAGACTATCCAGAACGCCCTCTGGCCAAAGGTCCCCGAGTCCGACCCATCACTCACCGCCGCTCGCGAGTTCGTTCGCACCACACAGACCAACATCACATCGGCCGAAGGCAACGCCATTAAGAAGCTTTCAAAGGGCAAGGCCGCAACGTTTGATCCCAAGAAAGAGAAGAAGATTATCATATTCTCTGCTCAAGAATGGCCTGCCTGGCAAAAGAAGTACATCGACATGCTCCGCGACGCAGCTACGATTGACATAAAGGCCATCAGCAAGTCGATCGATAAGTCCGAGTCCAAGAAAGCCATGCCCTTCATCAACGGCCTCAAGCGTCGCCTTGACAACGGAGAGCCCAAGGAGGTGGTCTTGAACCGCGAACTAGCCTTTGACGAACTGTCAACCCTGCGCGTCATGGTTCCAGGCTTGAAGCAGACGATTCAAAAGTGCGTGGATGTAGAGATCATTGTTGTCTCGGAAGGTGGAAAGGATGGTACAGTTATCAAAGAGGATGGCAGCAAGGGCGAGACCCGATCGGAACTGCCACCTCAGGCTGCGACGGCTGAGCCTGGTTCGCCCAGCTTCGCTTTCGAGAACGTTGAGAGTGTGCCTGTCCGGTAAAGGGCACGAGAAAGTCCCGCTGCGAGTTTGGTATTGGTGGACTGGGACGGATTTATGCGACACACGGCATTTCATGATGGACAAGAGGGTATGGGATGAGGCATGTCTGAAATGACTGTGGAAGTAGAGGAATCTCTCATGGTATGTGTTCTAAGATTACTACTAGAATACGACTCTTCACATGTCCGACTGTGAATGATCTTCCGACTTCTATTCGTGTCCAGCCTGTCTTTCAAATTCCAAATTGCCAACTCTGACGCTGAGAAAACTCATGATAAAGAAAAGTTCCGCCAGACAAAACACGTATCGACTGCATCTCGCGGGCCTTGCTGGCACTCCGCGTCATCTATCTGCACAATGTAAAAGAAAAACAGCAACTCATGATGACATAGGAAAAATTCGTGAAGAAGCAAGAAGAAGAGGGGCTCAGCCCCTCCCGATGACCGACAACGCTTACCACTTGAGCTTCTTATCCTTGCCGATAAACTCATCGATAATATCCATGTAGTAATCCTTGAGATCCTCAACCTTTGGCACCTCATCGCTCTTGCTGTATAGATCGTAGGGGTTAAACGCCTTGACAGCCTCCAGCATACGCTCATCCTTCTCATTCATCATCCACTTGTACGCGCCCTGCGAGTGCCACGGGTAAAACGAGTGATACCTAATCATCGCAAGGCCCTCATCAGGGATTGTCGACTGATCCTTCATAATATGGTAGAGGTACTCGTCGTGGCCCCAAGAAAGCATGACGTTATCCATGCCGCAGCCGGGGGTGTAGATGCCGTGCTCGGTGCTGTAGATTTCGTCGGTATAGTCTGGGTTATTCTTGAAGGTATCCGGGTAGATAATCTTGTCTGAGTAGGCGCAGCCGACGGGGAAGGTGTCGCCGACAACGTCCCATTGGCCGCGGGCTTCGTAGAAGAAGAGGAGCTTGCCCAGGTCGTGGATCAGGCCGACGAGTTGGAACCAGCGTGGCTTGCCGTCGCGGCGGATGGCTTCGGCGGATTGGAGGAGGTGCTCGATTTGCGAGAGGGAAGTGTCGGGGTCGGACTCGTCGATGAGGGTGTTAAGCTTCTCCATGGCTTCCCAGACGGTCATCTCGGCGCGTGTCTTGCTGTGGAAGGAGTTGCGGGCTTTGAGGTTGTAGGCTACGGTCTGCTTCTCATGCTGTTCGCGGTAGAAGTTCTTGACTCGGTCACAGGCCTCTTCGTACTGACGGAACTGTGTCTTGTCCTTGTCGGCGTCGAATTCTGATTTCTCGTAGATATCTTTTTCCTTTTGTGAAGCTGTGCCGTTCTTGACCTTCAGGGCAGCCTTGAGGACATTGACGTCGTCAATAGCGTCAGAAGTAGCCTCGAGGGCGAGTCCATCTCGGTGGTTGTTAAAGTCCTCGGCCACATTTGGCGTCTCAAAGATTGCACCTGGTGCCATTCTGAAAGATATGTTTGTGTGTATCAACAGAATGGGGTATCTCAAAGCAAAAGTTAAGTCAAGACAGAGTCCGTGCTGTGAAAAGCAAGTTCGAGACACCAGTGTAGAGTGAAAAGTTTGGTTGATGGGATTGTGGTGGAATCCGACGAGAATTAGCTAGTACTTATCCTCTTGTACCCCTCACACTACAAAGCCTTCAATTGCCAGAATCAGTAAAAAAAGATTACTACCGAAGAAACTCCAGAACGAGTCCTTGTGAGGCAGAGTTCTCGTCGTCTCCATTCCTAAGATCCACTTTTGGATGAGGAGTCTCCGCAATTATGAGCTAAATGGGGACAAGAGTGTCCCACAGGGCAACTTTCGCCGTCTACCAAACTGCCGTTGAGCTGCCACGAGCAGATCTAAGGGTCTCAGCAAGGGCGGCTAAGGGTCCCCGATGGCAATCCGGCGACGGTGGTTGGGTGTTGCGGTTAGATCTGCCGCTGTTCGGGTGGAATGTCTTGTTGGCATGTCATGGTGCATCCTATGGGGTAAGAAGAGGCAACAAAGCCCGCACCCACCTCAACACGGTAATTTTCGGCGCTCCACTACAAGTGCCGGCCCAACTTGTTCTGGACTTTTTGCAATACGAGACGGAAAAGATTCACTGATCAGGCGGAGATGCTGCATGATGACGACCAAGCGTCTGCCCCGCCATGCACGTGATGCTCGGTGTGCTCTTCCCCGACCCAACCCCACGAACCGTCGCCAACGTCTGGGCCACGTCTACTTATGAAACATCTTCCCCCCCTCCAAGACTGTTTTCACGTGAGGCTGGAAGAGCAACGAGAATGCGCACTGGGAGTATTAGTTACCTCTTCTCCGGCCGCGGGCCGAAGATACTCCGGCAGAGCTACTTGGCGGGGCAGCACCGGACTTCGGGAGCAATTATAGAGTCAATCACGGTCGACGTAAGTCTTTGACCATACCAGAACCGTCTAGGTACTTGCTACAACATGGAGACACCCTAGCAAACCCTATGTAGCTCGTCCTTGTCAACTACCCCGCCGGCACAGCTACGCACATATATATCGCAGCACCACCCCGGCCCTTTTACGATGAATCCTGCCCTTTCCAAGTTTATGCTGAAGAGTACACCAAAGAGTATCCTCGACCCTCAGCCCGAAATGAACACTCCTATCCCCCTCAACACGGGCGCCACCATCCCCGCCCTCGGTCTGGGAACGTGGCAGTCTGGGCCTGGTGAAGTCAAGAAGGCTGTCGTCCATGCCATTGAGAGCGGCTACAGGCACATTGACTGTGCCTTCTGCTACCAAAATGAGGACGAGGTTGGCGATGCCCTCCAAGATGTCATTTCGCGGGGGATTGTGAAGAGAGAAGATCTCTTCATTACCAGCAAGCTCTGGTGCACATTCCACTCCCGTGTCGAGGAGGGTCTGCAAAAGAGTTTGGACCTTCTGAAAACACCTTACGTTGACCTGTTCCTTGTACACTGGCCGGTACCCATGAACCCCAATGGTAGGTTGTACATAGACTGTAGCATTAAACAAGCTAATACAGACACAGGCAGCCACCCTCTATTCCCAATGCTCGAGGACGGCTCCCGCGATATCGACCGCTCAATGACCCACCAAGACACATGGAAGAACATGGAAAAACTCATCCAAACACATCCTGAAAAGGTCAAGGCCATTGGTGTCGCCAACTACTCCGTCAGGTATCTGGAGAAGCTCCTCGCCAAAGCCACCATTGTCCCAGCCGTCAACCAGATTGAGAACCACCCACTGTGCCCACAACAAGAGGTTTACGACTTCTGCAAGGAAAAGGGCATTCACGTCTCGGCGTACAGCCCGCTTGGTAGCACTGGCTCGCCGCTGTTCGGAGACGAGGTTATCAACGAGGTTGCAAAAAAGCACAGCGTTGGACCCGCCGTTATTCTCCTGAGTTACCATCGTAAGTCTTTCAATACCATTTTTGCGATGAAACATGCTAACTTTGTCAAGTCGCCCGCAACTCATCCGTCCTCGCAAAGTCCGTCACCCCCTCGCGTATCGATGAGAACAAGAACCTCATCTCGCTCGATAGCGATGACATGGCGAAGCTGGAGAAGATCCACAAGGACAAGGGTATCCAACGTTACATATACCCACCCTTCGGTATCGATCTCGGCTTCCCTGATAAGTCTGATGGCGTTGACCTCAGTGGTCCTTGACTCTCCGGAAAGGTCAAACTGTAGGGAAAAAAATTAGAGAAGAAAGTTAGAAGCTATACCCAATACAGTATGTTATGAACATGACACTGTCCGAAACTCTTGATAGAAGTTGCATTGTTTTATATGAGTGAAAAAGAAAAAGATTGATTGAATTCAAGGTCCGAACGCGTTCTAAGTGTTTTCTGATCTGGCTCATATAAACACAACCTAGATTCTACCTACCCATCCAGCCTCCATCAACTGTGAGAACCTCACCGCTGACGTATGCACTTGCGGCACTAGCCAAGAACACGACAGCGCCCTTGAAGTCCTCGGGGCTTCCCCATCGCCCAGCAGGAATTCTGCTCAGAATGCTCTCAGCCCTCTTTTCATCCTTGATCAGCGCCTCATTCATATCCGTAGCAATGTATCCCGGCGCAATAGCGTTCACGCTAATACCCTTGCTCGCCCACTCATTCGAAAGCGCCTTGGTAAGCTGACCAACACCACCCTTGGACGCCGCATATGCAGGAACCGTAATGCCACCCTGGAAAGTCAAGAGCGACGCAACGTTGATAATGCTGCCACGTCGCCCAAGTGGTAGATCGGCGTTTTGAGCGAGCATATGCGCGCCTACATCTCGAGCGAGTTGGAAGACAGAGGTCAAGTTGACTTGCAGCACTGCTTCCCAGTCGTCGTCTGGAAATTGGTGTGCAGGGTGGCGCCTTTGGATTCCGCCGCAGTTGAGCAGAATGTGTACCCTGTGGCCGTCTTTGAGGATAACGGGGAGGAGGGCAGCGACAGAGGATTTGGAGGCGAGGTCCGCGGTGTAGATTGTAGCTTTGCGACCGAGTGATTCAATTGCTTGCTTGGTGGATTGGTTGGATGTGTCGCGCTGGGTTTGAGTGTTAGTGTTCCCGCATCCTTCAAGCTCGTTAATATAGAAGGCTTACCTGGACAAGAAGAATGTCTGCTCCTGCCTCTGCGAGCGCAATGGCCATAGATTGACCGATTCCTCGCGTTCCGCCTGTTACAAGGGCAGTTTGGCCCTCGAGAGAGAAGAGCTGGTTGACAGAAGCCATGGCGTCTGTGGATCTTCGCTTCGTGGTAGGGATTCGGAAGGCTTGGGTGAAGATATGGAACTGAATAACGCTGATATCAATAAGCAAAGGACTTTAAGCGCACCGGCAACTAGTTCGAGTGCTTCCTGCACCAAGAGAAAATGCCCCAAAAAGTGTTTTGGGATGTACGGAAGAAGACGACGGCGCTCAATCCCAGAATCATGCTTGGTAGCTCGGAACAGTCTCGGAACATGACCCCACCCTTGGTGTCGGCATCTGTTGTCCCGCCATTTCAAATGCCGAAGGTCGGAATTTCTCTCCACAACGAACCATGTGCCATGGGGGAATACGCGCCGAATGTTTGGTCAGTAGTGGGTTCCGAGGCGCATGCGATGACTTGACTTGTCACCTGTCTTCCTGACACTCGTTCTCTCCAATCCACAACCCAGACTTCATCCTGTTTCCTTGTTTGCATTAATCTAAAATCGAGAGATTGGAAACCATGTCTTCAGAACAAACATCAGACGTTAATCAAGGCGCGAGGCAGATCCGTGCCTCGGTTCTTCATGGCGCAAAGGACTTGCGAATCGTACGTCAGCATATCTCGTTACGTGCGTGATCATACTGACTTCAATCCTAGGAGAACCGCTCACTCCCCCCGCCCTCGCCAACAGAGCTCCAGATCAGCGTTCGCAGCACCGGTCTTTGTGGTTCCGATCTCCACTACTACAGACACTACCGCAATGGCGACATCATTGTGCGAGAGCCCATGTCGCTTGGGCATGAATCAGCTGGCGTAGTTGTAGGCGTGGGTTCAGAAGCCTCTGGTTTCAAGGTTGGAGATAAAGTTGCGCTGGAGGTCGGACAACCATGCGAGAACTGTGATAGGTGTAAAGAGGGGCGGTATAATATTTGCAAGGGCATGAAGTTCAGGAGTAGTGCAAAAGCCTTTCCTCATGCGCAGGGAACGCTGCAAGACCGCATCAATCATCCAGCCGCGTGGTGTCATAAGTGAGTTCCTCGAATCGCACAGGATATCATGGGTGCTAATAGTTGTGAGGTTGCCCGAAGACATGTCACTAGATCTGGGGGCCCTCCTTGAGCCTCTAGGCGTAGCTATCCAAGCATCGAAACGAGCACAACTAGCACCTGGCTCAACAGTGCTGGTATTTGGAGCTGGCGCCGTTGGCATTCTTGTAGCAGCCATGGCAAAGATCTCCGGTGCGGGTACAGTAGTAATCGCGGACATTGATGCTGGAAGAGTGCAATTCGCAGTCGACAACAAGTTTGCGCACCGAAGCTTCACCGTGCCCATGAAGCGTGGAAACACCATAGAAGAGCAACTCGACATTGCCAAGGAGGTAGCTGTCGAGATTGGCAAGATCAAAAAAGAGAGCGACGGAGAAGTAGGTGAGGTTGATGCAGTTTTCGAGTGCACTGGCGTGCCGTCATGTGTGCAGGCATCGATATTTGTAAGTCCTAGTTGGATCCCAGCTTCAATCAGTGACTAACGGGAAATGCAGGCCACGCGACCTGGTGGAAAGGTTCTCCTAATTGGAATGGGTACACCGATTCAGACCCTCCCTATCTCTGCAGCCGCCCTTCGCGAGGTAGATATCTTGGGTGTCTTCCGATACGCCAACACTTACCCTACTGGTATTGAGGTTGTGTCAAAGAAAGGAGAAGACTATCCCGACTTTGGCAAGTTGGTGACACACAGATACAAGGGCCTCGAGTCGGCGGAGGAGGCATTTGAGATGGCTGGCAAGACCAAAGACGACAAGGGTAATCTTGTCATCAAGGTTGTGCTTGAGACTAGTGATGAGGCATAGGCGAGTCTTGGAAAAAGTTTGTGTCAATTGAGGAGTTCAGCATTGAGGGCGCTGTAGTAAGAAGTTCAAAATGTTCATATTATGATGTTTTCTAACCCTGCTTGCGTAGCCAGTGAAGGGATCTTGACAGAGCTAAGATACCACTGCTTTCCCAACATCTTCATATTAAATCAAAATGAAAAGTGCAGGAAGTAGCTAGGCATCCCGCTAGGGAGTCACAAGGAAGGCCGTTGACAATTGGAAAACTTCGTTCAACGTCAACCTGGAATTTTCTCCGATATGTTCCATTCAGGTCATGAAAAGTTAAAATCTCACATTGAACTGGAATGGGTACACAATGTGCTACTGCAAGTTGCTGTGTTGTTGCTGCACAGAACCATAAGCTCCAGTCGCCAAACGGGGAAATTTTCCCCATTCGTCCTACCCCAGAGCTGCTACTGGCGCAACAAAACTCCACGCATTCCCCACATTTTCGTCAACATCATGAATAGTTCCGTACTACAAAGATCAGTCCTATGCTTTCTTCTCACCCTCCAGTGCAATTGGTCTTTCTAAACATCGTGAGCTGCTTGTTGTGGGGAATTTGGCGCATCGTCTGGAAACTTAGTCAGGAAGAGGTAGCCGTAGTTCCGAGTGCAGTGATTAGAATTCATTTGAATGTGTCATAGAAAGATGGAACACATGACGAAAGAGGTTGAAGATTCTCTCCTTGATGCCTCTGGGGACAGTTTTTGGACCCTGAACAAAGCTTTGACCAACATGTGTTACGACGATGGAAAGTCGATCTATTCCCATAGGCGTTCAAATTGACTCCTATTTTGCTGGCTGTGAATAGAGCAACCTTTTACATCTCTCCAATATCTCTCTTTAGCAAACTGTTCACATCCCTTCATCTGAAATTTCCTTCACAATGGCCCCCGCAATCCGCAGACTCCATGTTGCCGTCTCAGGCCTTGGCCGGATGGGTGCCCGTCACGCAAACCACTTCCTCCACCGCACGCCCAAAGCCGAGCTTGTAGCAGTATTCACACCAGCCGAGAATGAGCTTGCTTGGGCGAAGGAGAACCTCGAGCTATGGGGTGTTAAGATCTATACCGACTACGACGAGATGTTGAAACATGAAGGCCTTGAGGCTGTCTGTGTAGCAACCGTCACCACAGTCCATGCTGAACAGACAATCAAAGCAATTGAAGCTGGCAAGCATGTTTTGTGTGAGAAGCCTCTCAGTACTAAGTTGGATGAAGTAAGTACTCTTTCACCTCACTGCTTCGAAAGGCACACAGCTGACAACGGGACCTAGTGCCGCAAAGTTCTCGAGACCGCAAAGCGCTATCCTCACATCAAGGTCATGTGCGGCTTCTCTCGTCGCTTTGACTCGTCTTATTTGGACGCGTACAATCTTGCTTTGAGTGGTAGCATTGGACGTCCCACGATCCTACGATCACAAACATGCGACAAGTACGCTACATCTTTAAGCCCTTGTAGTTCCTACATTAACACAACGATATACAGATACGACCCCTCCGGCTTCTTCGTAGTATATGCTGAGTTCTCTGGCGGTATCTTTGTCGATTGCAACATCCACGACATCGATCTTGCCTTGTGGTACTTTTCCGCCGAATCAAAGGGCAAGCTCCTACCGAGGGTCAAGTCCGTCATGGCCGTCGGCGTCACAGCACTCGAGCCCGACCTAGCAAAATTCGGCGATGTAGACAATGGCGTGGGCGTCGTCGAGTTCCACTCTGGCCAAATCGCCTACTTCTACAGTACGCGCATGAACGCCCCTGGCCAACACGACACGACGGAGATTATCGGCACAAAGGGAAAACTTGCAGTCAATTCCAATCCTGCGACAGGATTGTTGGAGAATCACACAGACACGGGTATTGTTAGGGAAATCCCACAAAACTACTACGAGCGCTTCGAGCAGGCGTTTGTGGAAGAGGCAAGGCAGTTTACAGATGTTGTGCTGGATAACAAGGAGGTGCCGGTCAATCTTGAGAGCTCAATGGAGGCAGTAAAGATTGGCGTTTCTCTGCAGGACAGCTTGAGGACGGGTAAGAAGATCTTGTTTGATCAGCAGGGAAATAGGGTGGATGATGTGAGGGCGAAATTGTGATGAACACATGAGTGCACACAGGGGTGTGAGGATGGGTGCAAGGGCATAGTAATGCTAGAAAGGTACACAGTAATGCTTGATATATGTGCAAGTCGGAGCGATGTTTAATACATGTCTTTCTGCGTTGCAGATGGCAATAGCTGTAAGTAGTGGGACGGGTGACGCGTCTGACACGTGGTCTTACTCCTTCCAGAGAGACGATATGTATTTGTGTGAACATCCTAATCTCGAATACACTTCAGTGTGTATGAAAAAGGTGGCATTCTAACGATCGTTTTCTAAAGCAACGCGGATGCTTGTCTATCGCTGGGGCGTTGAGACTGACGTTGGTTAATGATGCAGGGGTTTCACATCCCCAACACTGCTGAATCTCCGCACAGATTTGATTCCACAACATCACACTCTCTCCTCATCTGATATTTCGTATCTTCTTGGTCTCTTTCTTTTCAATGGAACTAATCTCCTGAACTCAGCTCAGTCATATCGTGAGCCCTTTCCCCTGTCTACCTACACCAGGCTGAACAAGTCTTACATATCGGTACATACCTACGCATCACGTGTATCCCAACCATCTACAAGCCACATTTGCAAAGCATGGACAAATGCAAAGTCAGCCACAGCCTACAGTTTCCCCCACACATTTCTACGCCTCGATCCCTCAAGGTCTTATCCCCGGAAGCCCCCGGCAAACCCTCACCAGCCACACCTACACCACACCTTCCATATCCGCCGTGGCTGAAGCGAAACGGAAGAAAGTGGGGTTTTTGTCCCTACCCCCCCCTAAAAAACGGAACAAGGATGATGCCTCCGTATTACGAAGATAGAGTAGGCGTGAACATGTGGATCCAGCGGAAGAGAAAAGAAACTCTGCCGCACCAGCCTCCTTCCCCCCCCCCGTGTCATGTGTCAGATACGCGTAGATTAGAGTATACGATCAGCTCAGCCACGACGAACGGATGATTTGCGAACTTTCCAACGGTCAGACACACGGGCCATGTAAGCACTTAAATTGTACATCGCTTTCCCTTATACATGCCGGATGAGATGCGATATAGCATGCAAAGCGATGCAAAGCGATGCAAGGCAAGGCAAGGCAAGGTAAGGCGATGTGATGCGACGCGACTTTACGGGACGGGGGGTTTGCGGAGATAAAGAGACGTCACGTGAGGCGAGCAGACGTGCAAGGGAATCCCGCCCATCGAGGCCGTGTCAAAGAGGCTTCAACTCAACCTCATCCCAACTTCGTCGACAAAGTGCCCGGCAACAACACCATACTATGCAACTACATGTATATTGTAGTCACGACAGATTATAAATCACTACCAGCCACATGGTATTTCTAACCGAAGCAGTTGTCATCACAAGAGAAAGGAACAAACAAAGGGTACAATAAGTCATCGTAAGAAGTATTATCATTGATGTACTATCTACAAGTCCCGTGTTGGGGTATCAAATCGAATGCTCAGACTAGCATTAGTCAGTCGTCATAATCATCATGCTCTCTCGTCAGTGTTCATTAGGAGAGAAAAGAAACCTGCCCACCCATCCACTATCCAAAGGCCACCTTCCATTACCGACCCATAAACCTTAGTCATTATACACATTACTCCACAAGGTGATGGCCTTTGATAAGATATGATGTGATGCGCTTAGAGAAGGAGCCAGGCGGCAATACCAGCACCAGCGGCGATGGAAATACCAGTAGCCTTGGGGGCGGCACCCTGAGCCTCGGTGCTGGCAGCAGAGCCAGCAGCATCAGTAGCAGAGGAAGCAGCAGAGCCAGCAGCATCGGTGGCAGAGGAGGCAGCAGAGCCAGCAGCCCCAGTAGCAGAGGAAAGAGCCTCAGTGGCGGATGAGCTATGTAATTGTTAGTTGGTTCTTGGTAGATGTGTGAAGGGTGTCAACTTACAGGACCTCGCTGGCCTCGGACTGGAGGGATGAAATTGCAGAGTTGGCCTCGGAGAGGATGGAAGAGGTGAGACCAGAGGCCTCGGATGCAACAGAGCTAGCGGCGGAGGTGATCTCGGAAGCAGCAGATGAGGCAGCAGAGGAAGCACCCGAAGCTACGGAGGAGGCAGCAGATGAGGCACCTGAGGCGGCGCTGGAAGCAGCGTTACCGCCAGAGGCAGTGGCGCTAGCGACGGCAGAGGTGAGGATGGGAAGAGCGGCGGGCTGTTCGCTGGCAGTGGCAGCAATACCAGAGCAGCGAGCATAAGCCCACTGAACAGCGCTGGCAGACTGTTCGGCGTCACAGGCCTGGCGAGAGCAGTCACGGATACCGAAGGCCCAGTTGGAGCGGCTGCAGAAGCAGGCAATGTCGTCGCTGCCGCAGGAGAACTCAGACTGAGCAATACGGGCCATGTTGTTAACGCAGAGCATCTAAGTAAGAGTCAGTATTGGTGGGTGGGTCAGTCAGAGTGCAATTGGTAAAAGCTTACGGCACAGTCTCCAGTGGGCATCTGCTGGGCGAAAGCAGCACCAGCAAAGGTGGCAGCGAGGATGGCGAAAGACTTCATCTTGACTGTGGGTAGGTGGAGGGTGGAGGGGTGTTGTGATAGAAGCTGATATGAGGAATTGAGGAGGAATTGGAGACAGACAAGTCTATGCAGAAGCTGAAGATGTGGTTGCGAGAAGGGTGAGGAGTGAGAGTAGAGGGGAGCTCGGTGAGGTTTATATGAGTGACAACAAACCAAACGAGAGCGTGGCTGGTACAAGAAGGTACTGCCCAGCTTTCACGCACAACGGGCTCTGAAGTGGCAGGGGCCATCCCAGCCCCAGGGCACGGGCCCATGATCCGCACCCATGCGCCTATCCAAGGAACGAGAACAGGCAGGCGCAGCGCTGATTGGCTGTCGGGCCGGGCGCTCATTCCCTATGATGTAGCTTGACTGCAGCACGACGGCCAACTCACGCGCTGTCAGTCATGGCACTCACTGCACTGTCCGTGTGTCCATGCTTGGTGCTTGGTGCTTGGTACTCGCACTTGCCTGCTTTACCTGCTGGCCGGCTTGCTGGCTTGCTCACCCGCCCTCGCTCCACTCGTCATGGCAACCATCATCATCATCATCATCACCGCCGCCGCCGCCAAATCTTCCCTCGCTCGCGCCCGTGCGACTGACACCAAGCGGGAACACGGCCAAATTGCTCAAATCTTAATTGCGGCCAGCAGAACCACTCAGCCGTGACGCCGTAACCATTGGTGTTCTTGCTCTGCCTTGATCAAACATCTGCCGTGCCCGCTGCCCTGGCCACCAGATTGCCCCTCGTCTCCGTTTCACACCGAAGACCATGTGCCGTCTATCCATGCTCCAACGCACCCATGCCTGGAAATCAATCTTGCTTCCCCACGACTGCCACCCCAATTGCTCAGATCTAGGCGCCGCCGATCCCCACCCGCCCGCCAATCACTAGTCCCTCGACTCCCTTCCAACTCACCTACATACACCAACGAGCGAGGGTACATGCGGTGGGTACATAGACTACCATTTGTGGCGCAGTCTAACCAGCCTCAAGAGAATTCCCGCCCCTCTGCATCCCAATCCCCTCTGCCTCTGCGTCGTCCCCCCTTTCTCCCGCACGCTTCTCCTAGGCCCCTAAGCCCTCCCTCTGCTCGGCTAGATGCTTCTCTTCCGCCGACGTGATGCAATGCGTGTTCGCGCCTGTCCCAACCACCCCGTCAGCTAATTGCGCCCATCGCTATCCACACGGCCAGACGCCATTAATAAACTCACCTAACTTGTTGATAGTCTCCATCCACTCATCGTACGGGTCCGAATCAAACACTATGCCTCCCTGTGACAAATCATTAGCTCGCAATCAACCTGCCCGCGCGATAAATGTCCTCGGACTTACCCCTGCTTGGAGATAGGCGATGCCGTCCTTGACCAGCATCGTCCTTAGTGCAATGCATGTCTGCACACATCAGCCTCCTGTCAGCCTCAAGCAATGCGGTGCTACTCACATCCATGGCCCCTTCAATCTCTCTCTCGCCATCAACGCTGCCGTAGCCAAAGTAGCCCACTGCGCCGGCGTACACACCGCGTTTTTCCCTCTCCAGCTCGGCGATGAGTTCCATGGCGCGAACCTTGGGCGCTCCGCTCACCGTTCCTCCGACTCGTTAGCCTACTTTCAAGTTTTTTTCCGTGGCGCTACTCACCAGCGGGAAATATCGAGCGGAACGCGTCGAATCGCGTCTTGCCAGGTCGCAGTACACCAGATACTTCCGACACCAGGTGCTGCACGTGCGAAAACTGGTTTCCATTTCGTTAGCATCGTCATTCCCGCTTTGGCTTCCATCGCACCCTGCCCTCATCACACCACACTCGGCGATCACGGTTAGGGCGGAAACGCTTTACCTTTTGCACCACCATCAACTTGTCAACCCTGGTGGTAAGTGGGTCGCACACACGATTGACGTCATTGCGAGCCAAGTCCACCAACATAACCTGCAAAAATACTGGTAAGCTTCAACGTCGTTGCATGCGGCTTGTCGTCAGAAAACCCACATGTTCTGCCCGGTCCTTGAGTGACTGAGAGAGCTCTTCCGCAAGTGCTGCATCTTCCTGCAGTGTCTTGCCCCGCTTGACAGTCCCGGCAATCGGGTGAGTGATGATGCGACCCTGCTCCTCCTTGACCAGCAATTCAGGACTGGCGCCCACGATCTGGAATTCGTCACAATCGACAAAGAAGAGGTAAGGCGATGGGTTCACGCTTCGCAGATTCCGGTACACATTGAACGGGTGTAGTGAGGTCGGTCTTGCGAATCGTTGCGACGGCACCGCCTGGATAATGTCGCCAATGCTAATGTGCTTTTTCAGCTCCTTGACGTGGTTTTCATATCCCTCTCGTCCAATGTTCGATGTATACTCGTTGCCCAACTGGATCGGCCCTTGCTCTGGCAATGGAATGTCCTTGTCCTTCAGTATTGTCACATATCTTTGCAGTGTGCTCCTGGCTTCTTCGTACGCCTCCTCAAGATTGTCGAGGCTATCTGGAACCTTGACGTATGTTATAACCTTGACAACCTGCGCGAAATGATCCAATGCCACCACTGTATCGAAGAGCATGAAGAGGCTCTCGGGTACGCCTAGCACATCTTTCATGTCATCTCGTCTTGTTTTGGGCTCAAAGTATTTGACGCAATCATATCCAACGTATCCGACAGCGCCACCGGTCAAGGGAGGTAGTTGTATCGAGGGTACAGTCGCGACACGGCTCTTTGCGAGCTCCTCCTCAAGTAGAGGTAGTGGATCGGTCTCTTCGCCATGGCCGGGGCCCGTCTTGATAACTTTTCGAGGGTCTAAAAGCTTGTTGTTAGCTGCCGTGTCTGAAACATTTGCTCCCCAAGTACCGACCTGCACCAACAAAGCTGTACCGTCCTATGGTCTCGGTAGTTGCGGCGCTCTCGAAAAGAAACGACAGTCTCGACTTTGATCTGAGTCAAGACAGTCAGCACAAATGTCCCCAAGCCCTCTTCTACCATCGCTTATGCCTCGTGCCCCTCCAGTCTACCCCGCCTCCTTGTCCTCTTTGTGCGCTGCCGTTTCTCGCGTTGCCCGCTTAGATGTCGCATGAGTCATACTCACTTTGCGGAGATCTTCAGATATATGCTCGACGGCGTGAGAAACTCGGCGGGAATCGAGGAGTACACGGGCACCAGGTTTGGTGGATTGGGAGAGTTGGTCAATGTGGCCAATACTTCTCGAACGGTGTCAAGCGATGGCTGAATGCCTAGCTGCTGTGGTCATGCGCTCAGCTTGATGTCATTTCATTGGCTTAGTTATGGACATACCTGTGGCGCCATAACTGCTAAGATGTAGAACGAACGCTCTGTGAACCTTGTGAACGTATAAGAAGAGGAGTGTATGTGTCACCAAGAGTTGTCGCAAAGTGTACTGAAGACACAATTGTTGATGGCCTGGCCAATCGGAAGGGTCAATATCCCGATGTAAATTGCTATCGATAGAGGGACTCAAACCACCCCACTTCGCGCGGCTGAGTCGCCCAGGTTTCTTTCGAGGCCACATGGGTGCCGCGGCTATACGCACGTCACTTAGGGTGAACCCTATTCTCTCTGCCAACTCCGACCTGTCTGAGTTTCACGTTTCACCGCACATCGCACTTTTTGGCTGGCAGCATTCTCGGGAGTATCAGGAAAGTTGCGCAGATTTATTGCGGAGTACAAGAGAAGTATGCGGCCCTCGCGCCGTTGCGACAGCGCCATGGAAATCCCACGCAGCCTGGAGCGGCCATGGACACCGCCAGAGATCGAAGACCGACCATATGCTCGCACTCGCCCAAGCCATCTCAAGCTATATGGAAACTCACTCTCGCGGTATTCTAGAAAAGAGCAGCGTTGGCCAAACGATGCTGACCGTGGGCACGAACAACCCTCGTGGGCCACTGAAACCTATAGTCCAAGAACCCCGTTCACGGCATCACGGCCGAAATTCAGTTCCCGTCTTACCGAACCACTTCCGTATACGCCCAAAAAACAGTACCGTTTCGACGAGCCATATTCACAGCCAAGGGGCATGCCACGCTACCCCTACACGCCTGATAGCTCCCAAATATTGCGTCGACACACTGATATCCCTACTTCTCCTCCACCATGGGACGACTATTCAGATCCCGCTCTATCGCCTGTTCAGGATGCCTTGTCCGCCTGTATTGTGCAGTTTGAGGATTTGATCCAGTCGCAGCAGCCAGATGAAGATCAGATGGAATATATTGTAGGGCAATTTGAGGCCATGGCCATGCGTCTTTCGGCTCCGGAATCGTATGAGAGAGAAACGGGTGCACAGTATCCTTCCCATTTCGACCAGGGAGCTGGTATCATGCACGCGGACGACGGCAAAGATGATCTCGCTGAAGCGAAAAGGCTATACCACCAGTCGTATGTTGCAGAAGTGGGAAACTATGTCAACAGCGTACAAAAATATGTCGACGAGCTGCGGAAGCGCCTGGATGAAGTCAAGACACTAAATAGCATCCAGCTAGACGTCATCAACGATTTGCGTAAACAGATGAAGACCGTCCGTCAAAGCATGCGCGAGGAGCTCGAAAGGAGTGGTGGTGGCACTACCGGCGCTGAAACTGGCAGCGGTGAGAAAGACTTCAAAATCGCAAAGATCGTAGACTTGGATGAACCCGAACACAACTTACCAGCACGAGACCGAAGAAGAAAAGAAGAACTCGGTAGTGGTGCCAACGACACCGACCACAAAGACGACTCTACAACCAGAAAATTCGGCATGATGGACAGCTGGCAGACCCTCGTCAACGACGACGACTACAACAACAACAACAATCAAGACGTATCCCAGGAAATCCACAACGAATATACCAAACTCGTCCGCAGCGCTGTATACAACCTCACCGCAGAAGGCAATAATGATGGCAATGATGATGCTTACCGCACCCCTCGTCCTGCTGCTGCTACTCCTCCTGTTATACGCCAGACCAAGCGCCGTCTAATTACCATTATACGTTCGCCCCCGAGACGCAGCTTCTGGGCTTCGATTGGCGAGGCGCTAGATGCCATGTCCGAGTTGTTGCTTGAAGAATGATTGATTGATCGATTGATGATAACGACGACGACGATGATGTGGGATGAGATTTATGGCTGTCACTTGGTACGAAGTTTTCTTTTCCTTCTCTGAAAGTTTCTTTCTTCTTTCTCTCAATCACTTTTTTTTTCTTTGCTTTCGTTGTTTTCGTCGGTAATGGTGGAATGAAGGTTGGGTAATGGAGGTGTGTGTGTGTGTGAATGATGGGGCTTACGAATGGTTTATGACGATTGCGGCTCAGAGTATGTCTGGGGGCTAGGATATGATTGATGGATGTTGGCGCCATTTCTTTTTTTTCTCGCTTTTCTTTTTAAGTCCATCTGCATGAGCGTACGTTGGATACCCCACTGCTGACGTTTGGATTTCCTTTTTCCTTTTTCCTTTTTCCCGCATCTCTTCTCTGCCTGTTATTACTAAATTGTTTTTTTCAATGGGTCTCTTACTCTCGGCCAATTAGTAACTACACTTACTCTCACTGTCTTATTACTCTATTCTCGATTCATGCTACTCCTCGCAACTTGATAATACCCAATCACACAATGTCAACCCAAATCTTGGATATGTTACATATTGGTGCATACGGCTTGTGTTATAGACATATACTTGTAGTTCCAAGAATCCAAAATGAATGGTTTGGTATCGCTTGAACATCAACTCTCATCATCTCCCCCTCTTTACACGCCAGTTTACTCGACATAATCCAAACTGCCCTTGCCAACCGTGCCTTTGACTGCATCCTCGCCCTTTTGCTGCTTCAACTTCTCCTCAAACTTGGCAAACTCCTTCATTGCTATCTCTTCCTCTTGGTCCAGGACCTGCTGTACCCCCTTGACTTCTTCAATGTAATGCATCAACATGCTCTCGATTCCGTTCTTCAGCGTTACTGTACTCGAATCGCAAGTCCGGCACGCACCGCGCAGCTTCAGAAGAACCTGGCCATCGTTGAAGCCCCGGAATTCAATGTCACCACCATCTTCTTGGATCGCGGGGCGGACACGTGTCTCGAGCAGCTCCTTGATCATACCAACTACTTCGTCATCATTCTCATCGTAGGCCAGACTGTCGGCTTCTTGGCCACCTTGACCTTGTTCTCCGGCTTTCGCAGCCACGGTGTTGACAATTGGTGATCCAGATGTCATGAATTCAGTGATTATGGAGAATACCTCAGGCTTGATGTGACTCCATGGTGTGGCCGAGTCTTTTGTTACGGTGATGTAATCTGCGCCAAAGAAGACGCTCGTTACGCCATCAATGTTGAGTAGTTGAGCTGCGAGCGGGGAAGGATGTGGTGGTGCAAGAGTCGAGCGCGGGTTTAGGTATTCGAGAAAAGGCGACGATATCGTTTCAGGGAGAACTCGCTGGTTGGGATTGAATTTCAATGCCTGGTAGCTGTTAGTAGGAGAGCGATATTGAAACTAGATGGGACATGCATACATCAGCGTTTGGCGTTGGCTCGGTTTGGATGAACATTGTTCGACGTGCAACGACCGTGGAAGGCGCAGCTACTTTCTGTTTCCATTGTTGCGCTGTTGGCCTATGTTGAAGCTGTGAGGTTGTGATGGGCGATGATCGTTGGTGCATGCATCTTGTGGCAATGCGTGGTGCTGAGCTTCGCAAAGGCGCAGCGCGCGAAAGAGCGCGCAGAGCGGAGCGAGGGATCGTACTTGAGGTCATTTCTAGGAAGAAATCCCGGTGTTGTATGTAGCAGATAGTGTGTGTTGTCGCAATGGTAGGGTGCGGAGATGGGAGACGGAAAGTTTCGCGAACTCGGGCGAAACAAAGTATGACGTTAATTGGATTATTCAGCCACGCGCTGAGTGGCTCCGACAATCCACCGGATGAACACCGTGCAGACCAAATATCGTGTATCGTTTTCGAGCTCGAAAAATGAGGACCGAGATATTATAAAATACTTTGCTGAATACCAATGTGAAAACTCAAGGATTGGGTAAAAGAATCGAAGCACTCAAGAATAATATCTCACCGTTAGTTACGGTTTGTGCAAATGCATTGGTTCTTAGTTTTTCAATATCATTGTCATAACAGAAAGCATGGCATCGTTGTTTGGATATTGTCATTAATTATTAGATTTCGTATCACCCTATCGTACAAGTTTACATCGGCTGTCGCATTCTGCCGCCATGCATTCCAATCCAGTCTCCGCCTGCGTGTGGTATAGTGTAATGCGTCAAAGTCGTTAAGTACAGTTAAGGAAATTTTGCGCTGGAGAGCACATTGACTAGTATTTGATGTATTTGTTTCGCTTAGTAGTTGGTAGCTGTGTTTCCGTAGGTGGTGGTGTTACCGTTGATAGCGTAGTTTCCAGCAGGGGCGGTGTGGTAACCGGAGCCAACAGGCTTATGGCTGTCATAGCCGGCGTTAGGAGATGCGACGGTTGAGCCAGTGTAGGCGGTATCGTGGCTAGGGCGGTAGTCGTGGGTACCATTAGGAGCAGCAAGTCCACCAGTGGCAGCAGGTACGGCAGCAACCTCAGGGTCACGGCTGCCAGTGGTCCTGTTGGCCTTCCTGCGCTGCCAGAACTTCATGCCGGAGCCCTTGGTGTAGCCGTTGGAAGGGCCAGGACCGAAGCGCTTTTCCTTCTTGTGGTGGCGCATGAGGGCTACCTGGAGGAGGGCGCTGAGCAAAAAGAGGAAAGCACCGATAATGGCGACGGCAAAGCAGGCAGTGTTGAGCCTGCAAGTGGTGCCCAGAGAAGCAGAGTAGGTGATCTGGTTGCCCTGGCCGTTGGAGCCAAAGCCTTGCTTTGAGCGTGCAGGACCGTTGCCAAGAGGGGTCTTTACGTTGCCAGAGCAGCTGTGTGCGCCATCACGGGTCAGAACAGCGATGGCAATCATGGCACCGCAGCAGAGGAGGTTGAAGAGAATTGCAAGCATAGCAAAAATTGTCTACCCAAGAGTCAGTATATCGTCTTAAATGATGGAGTTTAAGATTCTTACCTTTCCGCCAATGCAGCAAGTCAACAAGACAGCAAAGATGGCGTAAAGGACGACAGCACCGGAAAGACCAGTGACGGCCTGTTGCCAGACTGGAATGTTGACATCGCGGTCAGCCTGTACAGACAGGAAGTAGCTGTAAATGCCAAGGATGATTGCAGCGCAGCAGAACTCGAGAGCATAGATGGCGGTCGAGCCAAACTTCAATGCAGCACCACCGAAGCCCATGGTTGCGGTTGTCGGGTGTGGAGAAGCAAAGGGCGAGCGTTTTTTTAGGGTGTAGGTGTAATATGCAGGGTGTGTGAGGATGAGGGATTAGGCCAAGTAGGGCATCAGGGCGAAAGGATTTATCTGTGTCTTGAAGATCAGTCTGGCGATGACGCAGTCCGAGTATGAGGTGTCACGTGATGGAGCGCACCGCCATGCTGGGCTGCCTTGTAAGGACATAAGTCATGTCGATCGCGGAGCCCGTGCGTCACTCCAAGCCACGCCTAGATTGAACCCTGCTTTTCTCTTTCGTCCCGCCCAACCAACGTCATGGTGGTCAAAAAGTCGACCCGACAAGAGAGTCTAGCCACGGTGCCGAGTCTGCGCTTGCTATCATCCTGTTTTTGCTACCCCTAACGTCACTTGCTCAGGCTCAGGGACCACTGCGTGTCTCGAGTAGCTCTCCGTTGACTGTTCCTGGACACTCGACAAACCCCAAGATGGCGGCGCCACAAAGCCACACTTTCGCAGCTGAGGTAATGCAGGCTGATGCCCCTGCATGCAGCCACCCGTCATCCCACTCAAGTGCCCAACCCGTCTCGACACTGTAGTCCGCAGGCTGATATCACCATGTCGCAACCCTTCTATGCATGCGAGCTACTTTTTCATTGTGCGCCGATTCATCCGCCAACCATGCGGTGATCGACGTCTTTCGACCCGCAAGCGCCATGCGAACTGTTGTCATACATACCGTACCAAACAATTCCCACGCTGCGTCGTGACGCTGGCCACCCTCCCCATCATGTTTGCACCAATCTTTGTGATTGCTCCGAGGCGCACTTGGCTACCAAACCTTAACGCGAACCTAGACATCTTGCTGGCCAGTATCAAACCCCTCGAGGCTGCCCGTGTCGTCACACGCACGGCCGATCCGCGCCAAATATTCTGCGCCAGAGGGCTGCTGTGCCAGCACACCGAGCTAGCCTCGCCAGGCACTGCTGCAGCGACTCAAGATGTTGTGCGTCCACTGAAGCGGTGTAAATCAACCTTTGACAGTTGCGGCCCTTTTGTGCATTACACATATGCAATGTCAAGTTGAGCAGATGAAGCATTCACGCTGTGCAGCATTGGTATTCGACCCACCCACAACACACCAATCGCAAATTACCAACTGCGTTGAATTTTAGCGTTTCAACAATTTTGCACCAACTAATCAGGTACCGTCGTAGTATGATCACAAAGGCAACGATGCATGGTAGTGTCATGCAAGATCAGGTCATGAGCAGTAGCTTCAACCATACATCTCCGCCTGCATCATGGCCGACCAATTTCACGTGGACCATCGTAGGAAAATCCTCCATATTCATTCCCTCCACTCCATGGTAGACTGCGATACTTATTTTCCGTGTAAAATAGTAGTCCATGCTCTTCCCGCCATTCAGACTCGATTGTTTTCAAAGCTAGAGGCTAGTTCAAGCAATACCAGTCCCATTTGCTATACGTCTTTGGTATAGTCGAGAATTGGCTGATATCGCACCACCTAGTTATTTAATAGGGTAGCCGCGGTGAAGCTTAGATATTGTCATCTTCTGTATCTCTTTATGCTGACCTCGATAGTGTCTTGGTAGACCATGATTTGTGCTAAAGTGGAGATCATGAAGATGAGCCATCATGTCACTAAATCTCATTTTCTAATATTGGGCCAAATCTTTCGAACTACTCGCCTAATCGTGGCTATTTTCTGCCTCTTTTATGAAGCTTATCAGCACTTAGAGGACATATTTTCTAAGCTATCAATAAGGTTTTAAAGCAAGAAACCCACACTGATTAGCACTCTAAATCTCTCAACAGGAAAAAAAAAGCATTTGACATTTTTCATGCGATGCAACAACGAACTGCAACATTCCTATAGCATACACTTACAACACTTATCGAAGTAAGTGGTAGCAGCACCAGTCAAGTACCTAGCATCAATCAATCATATCACAACACCCTATCCTCCGAAATCAAATGAATGGTTCCAGAGGCTCACATTTAAACAAATGCATCCCCACTATTCAAATACTCTCAACGCTGTATACACCTTTTTGACAACACTACGAATCTCTCTTCTTAGACCCCATTCGATATTTTGCATCGATTTTGCCAGATAAGTTCTAGGTACTTATTAGTGCAAGGTCTTCATTAAACAAAGCTTAGCAACAATAAAAATCGGCCCAGAGTTCCCCCTTGAGATATTTCTTTGGAAAAAATATCCCCATGAGTTTTGGTATGCTGGTAATTCCCTACCTACAGCTTAACTTGGACATGGATATTCTAAGAAATGAAGATGCCAAAATCGGCTTTTCATCATGCGATCTTACGTCTCCAAGATGTAATAATGCCTATCTCAAATTGCTGAAAACTAACCCAGTCTCTCGGACGATTTTCAACACTATGAACGCGGAATTGAATACAAAACGCAATTTTGAAGCATTCGGTCGCTGTGAAACAAGGGAACGCCATCTGATCCCTTAATCACCCAAATGCCCAGAAAGAAAGTAAGAACGCAGGTCTCTCAAGTGTTTCTTTTAAATTAAATCTTCAGATCTGACATCCTTGCACTTTATCCGTTATCTAGCCATCCCTAGAATTCGCATGTCGTTATACAGTCAGTATCCCGTATTACCACCCTACTTGACAGCACTTATTCCACCCTCTACAATCTGTTAAGTAATAAATCTGACATAGTATGCAAAGATGTTAGGTATATTTGTCTTGAGATAGCACCTAGTCATGTAACGGAGACCAGAGTCACCGCCAGAGGAGAGAGAGTAGTTGGCACTTACAATAGGGAAAAGGGAGAGCATCATAAAGCCAAAACTTTACCTTTCTTCAGCGCCACTTATGGGCCATGATCATTATGTTTGTCTGTAACACACAACACCAGGTTTCTGTATTGAATCGGCGATATCCAACGAGTGGTAAGTTCCAAAAAGACTAGAAGGCATTTAATTACAATACTTAATCTACACATTATCAATGGCGCTCGACCGACTACGCAATCGTTCAATCTTTCCCTAGACGGGCCCTTACGTCACGTCATGTGTGACCCTGCATGGGTTTGCTTTGTTTGGGTCATCTTGACACTTGCCCACGTACTCCTCACTAACATACCTCTTATTGGGAGTTGTACGCATAAACATGGCTACTAATGACAACACGCCAATTTGCCCAGACTGGGTCTTCCTGAATAACTCCAATGTCCAGTGAGTAGAGCATAGGCCGGCCACTTAGGTAAGCGTGCTACTAACACTAACCAGCGTGGCGAAAGATCGAGGCTGGTTCAAGACTTACACTCATTTTACTTCTCAGATCAAATCTTCTCTGTTCTGTTCCCCTAGATATCTACCTGTGTTAGGAGTTGGTACTGTGGAGATTCCAACCAAACGCACGCCAAGCCGGCATGGTGTATCTGGCTACGGTTATCTGCATCTGAAGCAGGTCTTGCATGTGCCCGATTTCATCTGCAACATCATTGGAAGTTCAAATTTGATCTCCGATGGCTATGATGTACAAAGTTGTTTTAGCAAAAAGTCAAAGTGAACGATCAAAGACAGCTAGGGCAAGAACATTGCGTACTTTAACCGGCATGTACCACTATACAGTATCAGACTCAGAAACCGGCCTGAAGGTCCGAAACTGGGCCCGCATGTACTTCGAAAGAACGGAATGTACTTGATCAGCTGTTATTGGGTACACAGTGAAGAGCAAAAATGTTATTGGGAACCCAGTGAAGAGCAAAGATGGCTGGAGCATCAAGCCGGGTATTATGTCGACTATCTGGAATCAGAATCAGCAAGCTCCACTGGCGCCAGTTCGCCGGCCATAGACACCAATCCGCCGTACAAAAAGGCCGAGAAAAGGTTCCTCGAGAGTAACTGGGACGATGAGTTCACTTTCCTTATCAACCATGGTCTAGATATCTACGAAGACGAGGACCGGGAAAAGGGCAGATTGATACTGCGGGAACTCATGCATGAAGAAGGTCTTGATGGAGAAAGTGCGAACGAAGAAGAATCCGATGACGAAGAAGAATCTGACGCTGATTTTTGGGACCGTGCAGAGTTCACTAGTGAACAGCTTGAATGGATCGAGACTCACTATGACAACATTGACGCGTTCATGCGATCGTATGGGATGTGTTGCATGGACTATTTTCGTTGCATAGATGCAAAGGAAATTGTAGATGCATTTTTGAGTGAAGAGCAGCTATCACATGCCACAAACGTATAGATATCAGTATGTAGGCTTCGCTTAGCGAAATATCTCAAAAAAAACGGGGTCGTATGTTTACCAACCAGAGTGCCTCTTCTATTAGTTAAGGCGTCGTTCATGCTCAGTCAAGTGATGTACCCTCTCATTCACCCTAAATTATATTTTAGCTAACCTATCAACAATACGTATTTCATTAAAACATATCCCACAGGTTACTGTCACAGCAAATACTTATGCAATACGCTAACACATAAACACACTACGTCTCTCTCCTACCAAACGCGCGATTACTCAAAAAAAAAGACAATCTATCTCACTTTCGTCTGCAAAGTTCTCAACACCCCCTTGTGCTTTCCCTTCTTCCATGCTGCTGCGGAGATTCCTAGTACCTCGAGGAAATATCAAACCCACCTGCTATGCACACCAACTGACAAGAACACGAAAAGCATGGAAACAATCTCACAGCGAGATATTTTTACAGCTATTTAGTCCATTTTAACTTTGGACATATGAGAGCGTACAAGGTAGTGCTAATACACTGTCGGATACCGGCTCTATTCATCATCGCAAACCCAGCACAAAAGGACGACGCAGAAATACTGCGTGTACATGTTTAGATGTGAGCAATAAAGCTGTGCAGTAACTGGCGATTTTCCATCGCAAGGGAGGAACCTTGAGTGATATTCATCTTTAAGAGAAATGGGTAGAGTCACGGTAGAAACCAAAGGCAACGCATCGAGATCTATTATGATGCAATCGTGTTTGTTCATGACTACTTCTTCACGGCTAGGTCAACTGTTGAGTATACACATATCCTTTTGGATCAGTGTTGTCAGCTTATCTGTTCTCTGTTAAGTTTAGTGCTTGGAATCGCAGGGCGTATATATCGCTTTCAGGGTTCATATATTATTCACGACTAGCATACTGGCTTGCTAATTCTCCAAAGAGAAATACAGCAGGCCGTGTTTCGGTTGGTATAGATATGCTTAGGCCCTGCCCTCCATTGCATAAAAGAGCACAGATCTTATATAATCATGAGATGAGACGACTCATATCCCAAACGGTTTGCAGGAAGAAATGATAGACATGGCTTAGTGGAAACAAGATCTTTTCTACATTCATCTAATATGCTCAAATTTTTACGCTACTCTCCGTAACTTAGCCAAGGTCGCCTTGCCAGCTCTACTTTCATTCGGTCTTCCCAACTCTTGAGAAATCCATTGGCCTACTTCTGCGAGCTTCTCAATATCCACACCAGTATTGGCTCCCAAGCTATGGAGGCAGTGAACAAGATCTTCCGTCGCCACATTTCCAGTTGCACCGGGGCTATATGGACAACCTCCAAGACCACCCACTGCCGCATCAAAGGTGCGAATTCCATGCTCAAGAGCTACGACCGAGTTGACTAGCGCTTGACCGTATGTATCGTGGAAATGAAGTGCAAGATCGTTTTTGTCGATGCCAGCAGCGTTTAGTGTTTTCAGAAGCTCCATCGTCTTAGGCGCAGTACCCATGCCCGTAGTATCTCCTACAGAGATCTCGTCGGCGCCCATCTCAAGTAGACTCACAGCCAGCTCTGCCACTTTGTGGGGATCGACGTTCGGACCTTCATATGGGCAACCCAGTGCAACCGAAATGTACGCGCGCACATTTAGGTTCATTTCCTTTGCTTTGGACATGATTGGCTCAAAGCGCTTCAGGGATTCTGCTATGGAGCAATTTGTATTCTTCTGGGAAAAGGACTCGGTCGCCGCTGTGAAGATTGAGACTTCGTGTCTAGGTGATGACGGCGAACTTGATGCTTCAGCCTGAGAGGATGCGTTCGAAACTGATCCATCATTCGGTCCTGGGGAAGGCGGGGGCGTCGAGTATGCATCTTGGCCAGGCTGGGATTTGGATTGCCAGGTAGAGAGGAAGTTGTCGAGTCCTTTTACGTTTGGCAGAAGCCATTGGTATGTGATTGGTTGAGGCGAGGGAGGGGGATGAGAAAGGACATGTTCGAATATCTCTGCTGAATTGGCCATCTGGCTTCGCGGTCAGTAAAGCTCGAGGGATTTTCAAGACGCTTCTCTCTCACCTGCGGCACCCATTTTGGCGCAACGAAAGAGCCGGCTTCGATGGTTGTCAACCCGGTCTTTGCCAGCCTCTCTACCAAGTCTATCTTTGTAGCCAGCGGCACCGTCTGCTTCTCATTCTGTAATCCATCGCGTGGCCCAACTTCTACAATGCGAACGTGGTCGGCGCGGCTAGAGGCGGCTGAGGCAAAGGCTCGTCGATGACACGGATAGCGCGCGGCAAGACGCGCAGAGCGGAGGCAGAGAAATTTGGCAGACATGAGAGCAACGGCGAGGTGTCGACACTTGTATTGGGTCAGGCAAAAAACGATGCAATGACGTGCATAGCTGTTAAACTGTTTGTGGGGTTGATGTTTGCGGGGATGCTTTCACCGAGGCGAGGTGGAGCGAGCTTGCGCATGGACCATGTGTCCCTCTCCCAAGTCCCTTTGCCCCATGTCCTCCAAAGCTTCCTGGAGAAGTTGCACATGGCTACCATGGCAAGGAGCATCTGCGAAGCCCACGGCCCACGGCCTTGCAGCGTCTGTGTATATGCACACATGCAATGTGTCATGGATTGCCGCCGCCGAACCCACTGGCGCCATGCAGCCTGACGTGTTGACAGACTGCAGCTATAGACAATTCCGTCCACTGTGTATTATCATATTCTCGTTCTCCTTCAACTGCATCGTTGAGATGCATCGCTGGGCTCAAATTGCGTGTAAAGGCATAATTTGCGGAGACCAAGGGCTCCGTCTTGACCTGAACAAGTTCGTCTGGCCAAATTGTCCCCACTGTCTACCGCCTGCTCACACTACACAGTCGATGGCGACATTGCTGTTTCCACAAAACACGAAGCCTTGAACGCTTTGAAGTCGAAATTACCTGTGCATGGTGGGCGGAGCTAGAGCGCTCTGAGCTAGTCGCCGAAACTACCTGCAGCGCCATCAGCCGTGTCCAATAGTCCCTTTACGAGCCATACATATGCATCTGTCTAGCGGATCATCACGCCCAAGTACTTAAGTAGGTACATATGTAAGTATGTCAGACCCTGGCTAATAGACTGGCCCTGCTACTAGTACATAGTCGTATGTCGCTTCGACAGCTTGTCGCATGTGCTTATGCGCATTCTCGGCAGCCGAAAGCACTCAGCCCTGGGACAGGACTGCGGCTGGAGCCCATGGCCCAGTTGCAGTGGGCCCCATCGATGGTGTTTTCCGCTAGCTTAGGAAGCATGTGGACAAACAGAATAGAGGGCTCCTCGGAGCTTTGGCTGACTTTCTTACTGTAGCCGCCGGTTGTTCAAGATCCTGCGCTTAGTATGCTGCCCGTTCCCACCAGAGGACCACTATGGCGATGGGGATGCTGATCATCATGCTTAACAGAGCACGGGAGCATCTCTCAGCCGAGTCAGCCTCGGCTGGCGTATGATTGTGTAGCTGTTTGAAGGGTCTGTTGTCGGACCGGGCGTAGTGCAAACAAACCTGGCGGTGGGAAGCGAAATGTTAGGATTGTGAACGGCGCCGGGAGAATTGTTTCGGCGGAGATTAGAATTGTAAATAGGTGACCGTGACCCGCTCGGTACGAGTCTAGTCCCACAAGTTGGTACATTTTGTCTAGTTGCAGGCTACGGACGCGCTCCGACCCCCAAGCATTTTAGGTTTCAAGTTGCTGGTGGCAAGCGGTCTTTGGCAACACGGTAGCCCGGGACTGTCCTGCCAGCGTATCTGGTCATTCCAACAGCCAGGCATTGGAGCTGCAAGATCTAGAGTGACGGCGTGGCGTGGAATCAATGGGCCGACTAGGAGTAGTGGGCACCCAGCCGTAGGAATGTAGTTGTGTGCATACTAGGTACATAGAGTACATGTGTACATATGTATGTACATAATTGTGTGAAGGGGCGACAGGCGGGCAAACCGGGGCAGACAGCGCTAGGCGCGCCGTCAGAGGCAGTGAGCAAAGATACAGCAGATAGTGTAGCAGAGCAGACCCGCCCAGGTCAAGTGGGCAAACGCGGTCTGTGGCATCGTATCCCCCCATATTCTACCCCGCGTATGGAGGCCTGGGTGGGCAGGCGCATTGACGAGGGACATTTGGCCAGGCACAGAAGGGGCGACTAGCGACGACTGGTTTGTGAGAGATCGCTTGGCTAGCACGAGGGAAAGCCAGCAGGTGATGGGAGTCTGGAGTTGCTTGTTACCTGAGACAAATCGTTGAGTGGTGGAGCGTAGCCAACATGCCAAAGGAGCGCATGTCGCCGATGCATGTGTGGCTTGGCGCTCACGTGCCCGGCTGTGCGACTAGCCTGAGGCAGACCATGGTAATCGGTCAAACGACGCAATTCGCTGTCGCTGACGCTGACGAACAAGGCTGGCGAACGGCATCTGGGAACAGACGGGACGACGTTGTTTTGCCCTACTAGCCACCCCCCGCTGTTTATTAGCAGAGAGTTTCGGCACACGTGCAGCGGGCGGGATGGACGAGGGCCGGAGCCAGGGCGACGGTGTTTTGCACGGAGATGGGTGAAGGGTGAAGCATCAAGGATAGAGAGGGGGGCAAGGGGGGCCAAGCACGTCAGCGCAAAGTAAGCAGGGAGCGGGGTGGCAGTGGCCGGCAGTGTTTTTTTTGGGGGGGTTTTGGTTGTGCTTGACGACAGTGACAAAAAACGATGATGATGTTGGTGGATGCAGAGGCGGTGGCCGTGGGGGCGGCAGAGCGGCAGGGCGGAAAGCCGATGGTCATATCGCACTCTCATCAGGCCCGCATGCACATGGATGGCTGTTATCATCTCATCACGACCGGGGCCCACCAGAGCGGTTTGTGCCAAGGCCACCGCCAACGGGCCTTGAATTGCCTGCCAGCCTGACGAGCGCCAGACAGACAGCCAGACAGCAGGCGGACAGCAGGTGGACAAACAGCCACTTGCACTGGCACCATGATTCCATGGCACCCCCCGGGCATTGCGTGCAGCGCTGCACCATGCCATGATGCACACGACCGCACGCCCGCCATGGTCCTCGATGTCATTGCAATATCCGCGCCCGCCATTGCACATCTCGCTTTGGGCCCTCGCGTGCACCAGGCCTCAAATTGCACCACTCGAGCGGCACGTCGGCCAGCAGGCGAACGAGAGGCCGTCTCGTCACCCTCACTCGCTCGCCGCCTCGTCTCCTGCCATCATCAGCCCAAGTGCCTACGCTCGCGCAGCCGTTCACGCCCTCCCGCTTGGCATAAGGCTTCACCGCGGGCGGCGTCTGCTCGTCCACCCGCCCTTTTCCACACAGCTTCGATGCGTCTTCGTTCGACACGGCGGCATACTCGATGGCTGGCCTCGGTCGGCTCCGCGACAGCGCTTGCGCGAGGTCATTCGCCCGAGTGGCCGCGCTGGACCTGACGCTATCAGCGCGCTGGCGGTGCAGCACCCGGCTGCACCAACAGCCAGGCCACTCAACGCCTTGCCCTCACCCCCTCCCCTCCACCTCCACCACCACCATCCCCCGTCCGCACGATGTCTTCTCTCACTGGCTGACATGCCCTGGCTGCTCCGACCTTAGCGGCCGGTAGCAGATCGGGGGGCGCTGCCGCTCTGATTGGTGGATCCTCCGTGGCGTCCAGCCCTCTCCGTCCTGCAGCAGGCCTCTGTCGCCATCCTCCGTCAAGCTTCTGCCGGGGTGCCACCATTTTTCCACGATGTAACCCGACCTGGCTGTCCCCGTCGCTGCAATTCGCCGTCCCGGTGTGGGGTGTGGTAGGGGTTGCCACTGCCCAAAGCCTTGCGCCCGCTGCCAGAACATGCGGGCACCAGGCCTGCTCCCTGCAGGCCACATCCTTCATGCACATCGCTCTCGAGATGACCACCTCTGGTCTTAATATCCTAGCGTTCACTATGCCGCGGCATTTTGCATCCTTCTTCCCTTGGCATGCCAAAGCCCTGTCCGCTAGGGCCCTGACCTTATCAGACGGGGACCAAGCTTCCTTTACCCAGACCTGTCGAGGCCAAAATAATACTTACCCACCGTGACGCGCTTCTTCTATGCTCCATTGAGCATTACTGCACCCCTCGCTGTCTTTGTCTATTCTGTTTCCACTCCCACTATACTATACTCGCTCCACATTTTGCAGATGCAACATTGCAGAGTACCGCAATAACACCACCTCTTTTATACCTATCCCACCATGGCCCTCTCTCCATCCACCACTACCGCTACCGCCACCACCCAGCCCATTGAGGCAGACAAAGTCCAAGGCACCACCACCAACACTTCCACCACAACATCCACCACTGCTGCCACAGTCAACAACTCCGCTGCTGCTGCTCCAAGGAAGCGAAGAAGAAGAGCTCCTGCCACTGGAGCCACCGAAGACTGTTTTGCCTGCAAGAAGCGTCAAGTCAAGTGTGATCGACGCCGTCCCTACTGTGGACAGTGCGTCGAGATTGGAAAAGAATGCTCTGGTTACCGTACCACTCTAACATGGGGCGTGGGTGTAGCTAGCCGTGGAAAGCTTCGTGGCATGACCCTGCCCGTTGCAAAGTCTCCTCCCTCCACTACCACACAGGAACCCAAGACACAACGCATGAACTCCATTGCTTCGACTAGCACCTCATCTGTCTCCTCAGGTTCCCACCAAGATCAACATCACTTTGGCCACCGAGCCAGTATCGACTTTGGCGCCCACTCTCCGAGGAGTCCTACCAGTCCCATCTACTCCGCGCCACAGGAATACCAATACTTCAGCCCCACCAGCCCAATACCCATTCCCACCCCCTCTACGCCAATGGGCTTTCCCATGCAGCAACATCGAGACCAGTTTGAATTCCTGCACCCACAGGCTTCCAAATTCAGGCATCACCAGCCCCATCGAGGTCCCCTCCAACGGTTACAAACCACACTGCATGTTCCTTTTGAAGACAACGGCATGTCGGCTTCATCCGCCTCCCTGGGTACCTACAGCGACAGTGACTTTCCCTCACCAAGCGAGTTCCCAAACACCCCAGTCGATGAGTACCCCTTTGCAGATCCCTCAATGCCACGCTACCCATCATATGACCACGCCCCTATGGGTTCCCTGGACAACTACTTCCTCAACGAAGCCCCTCGCTCATTCCCCACTGGGGATGACATGAGCTCCAGTGTAAGCTCGGATCAAAGTCTACAAGACTATCCCGAAGTCAGCACGGCCCCGCAAAGCATGGGCCCTATTGTCTTTCAAGATGTTTTTACCGAGGGAGAGATGAGCTCGAATTTCAATGGATTTCAGCCTGGCTTTTCCTTTCTCCCGTCGGAGGGTATGTCTTCCTATGGCTCTGGCCCCCTGTCTCAAGACGTACTGTCGCTCACCACTTCTATTCCCCAGAGTCTTACCATCGCTTCGCCTCTTTCCCCGCGGATGCTATTCCTCCTGGACTACTACGACAGATTTATATGCCCGGTGCTGGTGGCTTTTGACAGCCCACAGAACCCCTACCGGATGCACATAATACACTTGGCCATGCAGAACGAGGAGCTGCAGAATGCCATTGGCGCTTTGGCTACGAACAACATGCGCATGCGCGGGGGTATCGAGGGACGCCGCGTTAGCGTGCTTCACGACACACGACTGATACCAGATCACGCCTACTCACAAATGACGACCAAGGAGTTGCGCGAGATGCATGGCGAAGCGACCGACGAAGAGAAGCACTACAAGGCCAACTCTATCACTCTGCTCAACAAGAAGCTGATCGACTTTGATGGATCGCAGGACGATTCTGTACTCGCTACGCTTCTTATTCTCTGCCTCTTTCATGTTTGCGACTCTGGCTTCACAAAGTTCAAAACACAGCTTGCAGGCGTGCAGAAGCTTCTGAGCTTGCGCGACCGGAGCATCCAGTCGGAGTTTGTCGGATGGATTGAGACCTTCTTCACTTGGTTCGATGTCATGACGGCAGCGGTGAACGACCGGGAGATTGAGGTCCGTGGTGACTCGCTTGACATGATGAACCTGAGTGCCAATCTGGGTGCGCTAGAACACCACTCTGGCTGCGAGGGCCGACTCTTCAAACTCATTGCTCGGCTTGGAAGGCTCAATCTTCTCAGCCAGAACCGGCCTGTACGCGACAACGACGACACGCCTACATCGTCACCGCGGCCTAAGAAGGTCAAGGATTTTTATTCTTTTAGTTTTGACAACATGGACGGTAATGGTTGGGGCACGCCTATTAACGAGTATGTCGATCCCTTCGCATCGGCTCGCGACGATCCTCGCTCTGCGTTCTGGACTGAGTGGAACGATCTGCGGATCCGGCTGCAAGAGTGGGAGTTTCCATCACCTGGAGAAGTGCATTCGAATTCATGCGACGCAACATCGTCGATGCTTGTCATGTCTCCAGAGCAAGCTGCGTTGCTCCACATTAGCGAGAGCTTCCGCTATGCAGCACTGCTCTACACTGAGCGCCTTGCGCAGCCAACGCTCCCACCATCGTCATTGAATTTCCAGAATTTAGTAGCGCAAGGGCTCTATCACATTTCGCAGATTGGCATGACGAGCTGCGTCAACAAGTTTCTCCTGTGGCCACTGTTTATCGTGGGCACAGAGTGCGTTGATCCCGAGCACCGCGCGGTTGTACGACAACGATGCGTGGAGATTCAACGCGAGAGCGGCTTCTTCAACAACCTCAGCGGGCTAGAAGTGCTAGAGCGGGTATGGCGCGAGGACGACGAGTGGTCAGATGGTGATGCCCACGTGCCAAGGCAAAACGGGCCTTTTAGCACAGTGCAACATCCGTTCCGATGGAGGAGAGCCATGGATCGCGTGGACGGGGAGTACATTGTGATTTGATTTGGGTTGAGCTTGCTGGATACAAGCAGTACGAAGGCTACGACGAAGAAACGTGCATGAAAAACATTATGATTGGGGGTTTGGGCATGCATGGACTGGGTGGAAAAGGTAATAGGTTTTCGGCCCTGTGAGGAGTTTATTTTTATTTTCCTTTCTATTTTGTGTGTAGCGATATTCCAAAGGGCGATATTTTTCGCAGGCTCAGTTGCAAGCCGCAGTGCATGGAGCAAAAGCTTGTAGATGCATACCCAGATACGTAGTAAACGAGTTCAACAAAATGTATTACTAGTCAGACCCCACGTTCGAGATGAAGGATGGTTGTGCTAGGATCGCGATTCTGGACCAGCATCGCACATGCAGTCCCCACGTCGATGCGAGGCTGTGCAAGTGATCATGGCCGGCGCAGATGCAGGCGCACATGTAGTAGATGCCAACGCCCCGAGCGCAGCGGTCCCCAAGCGCAGCTATACAGGATTTGCGCAGTTGCCGGTCAGCCATGGTGATGCATGACGACGCAGATCCGTCGTGTTGCGTGACGGGTGTGGATGTGGGTGTGTGCGGATGCTTGTGAGAGTGTGAGACTACTCTGCTAGACGGGGCGCCACATGCAACGTCCGATCTGCATCGAATACAGCTGTAGGACCGCGTGCCCTCGTCGTCGTTGATTCTTGGCTCTCTCTCTCTGATCGTCATGGACTGGGTCGGCCAGTCAGGATGCATAGAGGGTAAGCAGGCAGCTCTGGCTGATGGCGCATATCATGTCAGCTACACTACTGCTCCTAGGCGCACCAAGGTGTTCGCGACGATCAGGGTTTACGGGGACGCATATCGGTTGCGTCCACCCCCCTTGAACTCTAACGCTGATTGCTGACAACTGGAGTTGCTTGGGCTGGCCAACCCGCCAACCCGCCAACCCCCCATAGGCGAGAGGCGGGGCACGACCTCTATCCGGAGCCGCCCATGAACAGTTTCCACGGAACCCAGTCACACCCGTGCGACAAGGGAGGGAACCCCCTCCCCTCACCCCAGCCCCATGTCGTGCTTCTTTGAAACTTTTTTTCGGTGGTTTTGTTCGGAAAATGGTAGGTTTGCCGCCTCTTCCAGCTGCCATTGCTGAGGCTGAGACGGATGCCCCATGTCCCAAGCGTACCGTACCACAAGGCTGAGAGTGAGACTCATACACACGTACACGCACGCACCTACACAGGCTCGCGCACTCCGGCTCAGCTTGCCCGCAAAAAGAGATCTACGGTGATCTCTGCCAGGTACCGGGCATCATCATCCACCACCACCAGTCGATGCTACTGCCTGGAACGATGGTATTTCGGGCTAGGCGGGGAAGTCACCTCGGTAGCACATGCAATCCCCTCATTCGCTGCGACTGTCGTTGGGTATATCAATATCAACTTGTAGCGACATATAGCCCGGATTTGGTTTTTGCGGGGGTGGGAAGAGTTAGCGATGCATCAGTACTAGCACACGGCACCCTGCTTCCCCCAAAGAGGATACCAAGGGGTATGTGATTCATGTTGACGGGGCAAGACACCAAAAGAGAAGCAAGCTGGTGGCTTACACGCCCTCCGCGCACCTCACTGCCTCAGTGTTGGTTGCGTACCCCGCTGTTGTACATGGCCAAATTTCAGGAGAAGGGCCTCCTCTACACCATCGCATTGTTAGACTAAGTGGTCCAATCTCCGCGGCGGACGGGTTTCAGCCAACGGGAAACGTCGTTACGAGACAGATATCCAAGGCCAAGATGTTTCGCCTGGGTGTTGCGCTCGGTGAAAGCGGAATTGCAATGCCCGTACTAGGCGGCCAATTGCATCCCAGAACGTGTGACGCGTTTGTCGGTCAAAGCGCGCCTTTAAAAATAGTGCGAGTACGTAGTAGGTACCTGGTATTTGATGCGTGGGGTATTGGAAAAAGCATTGAATGCCGTACCGGCGAGACCGACTGGCTGGCCCAACGTGCAGCCTTGAGGGTTAGCAGTGAAGATCACAATGTTAAGGGGACGTTACATGTCTCTCGCAACCTGTTATTTGCATATACAACAGGAGCCACTACGAGTTTAGCAACAGGCCTAGCTTGAGATCACTTGGTTACGCCAGGCGCTCAGAAGGGTTCTTGGCAACTCCGCGCCGGCCGTCAGGCCCAATTGTGCCATTGGTCTAGTGCCAAAAGGGTTCGCCTTTTGGGCCTTCAATGTCTCGCATGGCAAATCTGGGGAAGCAATCTTGTACGTAACACTGGCACTTTGCTGTCATGTGCTACTCGCTACATAACCACGGAACAGGTGTATGGATGCGTATAGCCGCCAGAGGGCGCATGTGTGCCCATTCTCATAGTAAGTAGTACACTACCGAGTCATCACGTTGCGATCCGACGTGGGGCCACTTGCACGCCTCATAAGGCAAGATCTCGGGGCGGGCCATTGCAAAAAAAAAATCCACAAAAAGGCCCGACGGCAGCCTTCGGCAACTGCATCTTTGTCCTCGAGCGAGCCAGGCGAAGGATGCAGCCATCAAAAGGGTCATTTGATGAATCGTCTGGCTAGCTGGAGTGATGCAATGGCCGCAGTGGCAAAAAAATAAATAAATAGCAGATAACGTGAAGGCGCGTCGCCGGCGCATAATCATCCAGTGCCAAATTTGACATCAACACGTCCGGTCTCTCCGCGACAACACCGACCAAAAATTGCTTCTCTCTTGGTATGCCTCTCTTTTCGGCAACGCATCCGGACTTTTCGCATTTGAGCCGGAGAAGGAGAATTCCGCAATATGAGAAAATGGGCCTATGTACTATATGAGATGTCAGGTACTACTAGTCGTGTTAACTCGCGGCGATATTGTTCCGAGTCTAACGTCCCCCAATGAGTCGGCAGACAAGACAGCACAAAGGGAACATGTGAAGATGCCGTTTGCAGCTCCAATACCCCCCAGCCAGGGCACACGATGTCACCACAACTCGGGTTGAAACAAACATGTCCGTGCAATCGTGTCGTCATACGAGCTGATAAATTGAGCACAGACTGCTTGGGAGATACCTTCCACTCGGAAAACGAAGATGCCAAGCACACAACTCGACCACGCAAAGTGTATTTTTTTTTAGAAATGGTTTACTAGTTGCCAATTGGTTGCTCATTTGCTGGAAGACGAGTGCATAGTAATTCCCTCTTCTTCGTTCCTCGTATACTTACTGTACTATCCTGGGCAGGACAACAGCAGGCCTCCAACCTCCTCTAATCTTAAGTGCTGTCATCTGGAGACCGAATCTTCTCCGTCACCGAGCCAAGAGAATTCCAATGGCATCATTCTCAACGGGCACCGATAACAGCAAAAAAAAACCCCCAAATGGTTGAGCTATGGCCTGCCGTTTTGCAACAAGGCGGTTGAAGCTCAGACCTCTCGCGTAGATATTTGCGGTTCACTGTCATGCCCATCCTTATCAGTGGTGGTCCTTGCTCCTTACCATCCCATCTCAACTTGACCTACATACAGACATATGCAGGCTCGGTAGAACAACCGGTTCATTCACCTCTACCTGTATACACACATGTGTGTGCTGTGTGCAAGAGTCGCGGTTGTTGTCAGCCGAGCTGCAAGCGCAAACGGATGTAGTAGTCCTAATGGGGCTGGCATTCCAGACAGCCATTACTTTGCGCGGCTCAAATCTCTTGGAAGCCTGCCATCCTTGGTCTGCGCCCCAACCGCCGTAGCCTTCTTTTTTTACGCCCGTAAAACCCATTGCTGTGAGATCACGCCACACCGCCTGTTGTTGTTTAGGATAGCCTTAGGTCCCCACATACATTTTGTTGCCAAAGGAAATGGTCACGGCCTCTGGGCGGGCGACCGGCGCAATAACATTCCGCCCGAACAACTAGGACGGTCCCTTGTCTCTGATCGCGGCCGCTCCAGCATAGCCCGTCAACACCTCGTCGGCCAATGCAATCCCTTTCTAGACGCGATTTTGTAACTCCAGGATAGCTTGCAACACTAGTGCACCGAATGTTCGATTCGAGAGTCCACATACATGGTACGGGCATGAAGCTCAATTTGTACAAGGCTGTGCAGATAACGTGCAGACATGTAGCCGCGGGAGGTAAACCGCTTGTGGAAAGCTACAAGCCGCTGTCTGCCCTGCTGCACACAGAGAGGCACCTCTACCGTAGACGAGGCCTAGATCTCCGTGCGCTCGATGATCGACGAGTTCTGATATTAACTCTAGGCCACAATGTCCAAGCAGTCACTTTTGGTGTCTCGAACGAAACCCGGAGACAATGATGACACGACAAGCACTGATTGATCGACTGGTTTGACTGGCTGACTGACACACACATGAGACCCTGCGCGAACGCTGTCAAACTTGTCAAAAGAGTCTAAGTAGGCTTTGAGACCTGCACCCACCAGGACCAAACTTCTGGAAGTCCTTCAACTGGCAGTGATTGGCGGACGAAAAAATAGAATACACCGTGAGAATGCCATGACGTTTGACTAACGGATGTACAGCAGAATACGAGCAAATCCTACCAGAAACCCCCATAGTGATACCCACAGATAAGCGACTTGTTGCTCAAACACCATGAAATCCTTCTACCCGGTCACCATGTCGCCATACCCTCCATCAACCCCGTCATTCACACTCTTACGAAAGAAAAACTTGGTACCTGAACCCATACCCATCAAAGTAACTTTCCAGACGGTCTTGTTTTCGCACGCCACCCAAAATTACGCCTTACTGACCTTCTCTCTTTCAACCATGTCCTCCGAACACGTCCTGGGAGAAGGCCGATTACCCCCCCACACACAGTAACACAGCCACTCACGACTCTACGCGCACCTACATCGGCATCATCCTACATCTGCATCAATAGCTTAATCGATAGCTCCCTTTATGCAATGTGATTGTGCCTGCTTCACCCGCTCACACCTCCTGTACTGTACTGACTTGTCTCTCTCTCGTATGGTACACTCGGCAGCCAAACTAACGGCGCCCCCTCCCCCCTCCCCCTTCACCCACACCTCGCTTTTCTGCTTCTATGTACGCGCACGAATGCACGCACACATCCCGTAGCCCGTCCCTCCACTTCCCCTACATACCTACACACACCTCTCCTCGCCCAAACGACTCATGTATTCACTACTGCAGCAGGTGAGAAGCCACCATCGCAAAGCCGCTTGTACGAGTGCCGCGCTGCCGCGGTCCCCTTCCCACACCCTTCTCCCGCCTTTTCCATCCACCATCCGAGCGTGGGGGATGCACATCCGCGATAAAGAAGAAGGAAAAGTAGGAATATGCACGGCATGCTGCGGTAAGCACCGGGTAGTGCGG